GAGCCCCGCCCCTTGCTGAGAAGACACAGACACAGAGCCCTGCCCCTAGCTGAGAAGACACAGACACAGAGCCCCGCCCCTCGCTGAGAAGATAGACACAGAGCCCCGCCCCTAGCTGAGAAGACACAGACACAGAGCCCCGCCCCTAGCTGAGAAAACACAGAGCCCCGCCCCTTGCTGAGAAGACACAGACACAGAGCCCNACACAGAGCCCCGCCCCTTGCTGAGAAGACACAGACACAGAGCCCCGCCCCTCGCTGAGAAGACACAGAGCCCCACCCCTAGCTGAGAAGACACAGAGCCCCACCCCTCACTGAGAAGACAAAGACACAGAGCCCCGCCCCTAGCTGAGCAGGCACAGAGCCCCGCCCCTCACTGAGAAGTCACAGAGCCCCGCCCCTACCTGGCAGGCTGACTTGAGCTCGTCAGGGGACTCATAGCCGGCACAGATCATAGACGGACGCACACTGTCCCACCAATACTGTGGCTTGCTGCACGTCTCGAAGGGGACCACGGGCAGTGCTGCCTGGTTCAGCTGTTTGGACACCACAGGGAACAGGCTTCCTGCGGAGACAGGAACACACCAGGGCCACTTGCAGCAGATCTACCCATCCGGTAGTTATCGACGTGTCACCGCACCAAAGCCATGACTTAGCTTTCGGGTGGGATGCGAGTTAATTAACTGTAAGACCCTTCCTTCCATGCCGCTCTGAAGAGGACTCGTGGGGAGCCTGTGTTTCCGTGAAAGACTGGAGGGGCCGGTCCCATCAATTAATTACACCGTCACCGTGAAGTATTAATGAGACCAGGTGGTGTGTCTTCGTCCAAGCACAGGGCCCTGGTGAACGCGGCACCAGAGCAGATGTGCTCGTTGACACGAGGGGAGGTGACTGCAGCATTACTTAGCGTCACGCTGAGAGGTCGGCTCTGCCGCAGTTTCTCCTCACCGTGGACGGAAGCTCACACTACTGGCATCTCTGTTCTCTGACGTGCCACATAAAGTCGCGAGCAGTTTCACAAGGGGTCTGGCTCTTAAATTAAACCACCTTTATTTTTGAAGGACAGAGTTTGTAGTATTAATTAATTCTGTTGGATAAGAGTCTGTTGGATTTTTTTTAGCACGTCGTGTCAGTGTCCTTGTAAATCCGCCAGCATCCACATGGGGGCGCTCACCTTTCTCATCACCCCAGCCAGTCACGAAGCAGTGCGTTCCTCCTGGGAGAACCTGGTCATCCTCAGGCAGACACACCGGGCTGATCTCCCTGGTCATGTTGACCCTCTGTGCCAGGTGGACCAGGGCGACGTCATTGGCTACAATGCTGCTCTGGGGGTAGACGAAGCCGGGGTGGGTTAGGATCCTATCCACGGTGTAGCAGGCCTCCGTGGCGTCGTCTGATGTATTCATGTAGTGCTTCCCCAGACAGAGCTGCCACATGTTGGGTTTGGAAAGCCTGGCACACGGAACCATCGGTTAGAACACGGGCCTAGCCCAACCTGACTGAAGACACTAAAATTAGCCTGGGTTGCCTGGACCAGCTTGTTCATAGGACTGTGCAGTGAGCCCACTGCGTGGCCTTTTTGGGTCACTCACTGCATGAAGCAATGGGCTGCCGTCAGGACCCACTCCTCGTGGATCAGGGAGCCCCCGCACGCATGCTGGAATGGCATGAAAGTGAAGAGCCGGCCCTGATGGGGACAATGACATCATCGGATTACATGCTCTGTCGAGTCAGGTGACTTTGCTGAGAAGGGACGACGGAGACTGCGGTTTGGGGTCACGTATAGGCTGCACTCCGGCAGACGGCGGCCTGCTGTGTGTGGTGCGCCGTGTGGCCTATCAGTGATCAGTGTCGGAAGGCCCTCACGCCCCAGCTCACCTGCATGGACACCTGCCAGGGCCAGGAGTGAGGCACGGCCTCCACACCATTTACCACGCGGGCCACAGAGGTACTGGGGGGCACGGCAGGCCTGCCGCAGGACGCTGGCCAGTCTAGGTCACATGACATACATATTACACCAGACACTATGGGCTATGTGACTATACACTAGATCATGTGAATATATGTAATGACTGTATAACTACACACATGGCATTCATTACACTGCACACTATAGTCTTTATGGGACAAGATAGCCAAACTCCATCCCATTCTGATACCCCAACAAGCAGCTTGGTCCCTGCTATCTGTATCTAGACTGCCCGGCTCACCGATGACGATGTCATCCCAAGGATTGGTGGGCGGAGCCGGCAGAGTAGGGAAATCATTGAGGTCCGTCGTCCAGTATCCACGGAATCCCTTATCCTGCTTTGCGCCGTTACTGACGAACCGGATCAGGGCTGCGTTGCCCGTGGTTACCGTGGGCGGGGCCATAAAACCACAGAATGTTCCTGCATAGCAGACAGATCGCTGTGTGAACACTCACGGGACTCAACACATGTTACAAACAAGCACCAGTGTTCAAACCTGTGGTTAGACCCCTTTATTACAGAGCAGATCAACCATGCCTGTGTCTATCTGTCTTTATAAACTTAAGATATAATTATTTTTTATTAAAAATAAATCTACAGTACATATGGATCATGGAGAGGTGGGGAGGATAGAGAAGATTAATGGTGGCATAACAATAACATAATAAAATCCAAATTTATATCTATTATCGCTAGTTTCAATAAGAAAGATCAAAGAACTATAGGCCAATCATTAAAACCAATAGTAATGGTGTGTTTATTACAGGGGCAATTCAATGTTTCTTTGAAGTCAGGGGAATAAGAGGAGCCATAATTCATTCAGAGGGACCAACCTAATCATTAGCCAATGATATGCTTTGAATTGGTGAATGACAGAGAAGGGGCACTTCTGTGGCCAATTAGCTTTAAGCTGGGGGCAGAGCCCTTGTGGCCACGCCCCTGTGTACACCCCTGGGTAAAAACAGCTTATTCTGGCCTTTGAGGCATAAAATGGGCGGAAACACACATGGCTAACAAACCTAGCTTGGTAAGTCCTGTGCCCTGTCCTTCATAGACCTCAACATAGTCCTGGCATGACCCCAGAAGGCTGACAGCTTGCACGTTGAAGTCAGTGAACTTAATGTGGATCTTCTTGGAAGGGGGCACTGAGATGCTCCAGGTGCACACCAATTGGGCCGGGTAGTCAGAGGTGGGCCAGCCCGGGGACATGATCTGCCCCTGCTCGCTGGTGAAGTGGCCCCCACACTTGATCAAGTCTACACAGTCAACGAGAGACAATCATAACCTACCTAAGATAGACAATGATGACCTAAGATGGACAATGACCACCTAACTAAAATAGACAATGATGACCTAACTAAGACAGACAATGATTACCTAGGACAGACAATGATGACCTAACTAAGAGAGACAATGATGACGTAACTAATATAGACAATGATGACCTAAGACAGACACAGCCGGGTCGGGTTGATGGCCAATATTTCGCTGGTACTTGTGACTAGTGACAAGGTGTATTGCAACAGCAATAAAGGGTTTCATCAATCAATCAATCAATCAATCAATGACTTAAGATAGTCAATGATGACCTAAGAACCTAAGAACTGCCAGCCAAGGACTTGCTTTGAAAACATACAAATTAAATTAATGTTAAAGATGACATATTTATTATTAATAAGCACATACCACACTGTGGCTCAGTACTGGATGCGCAGTAATGAAGAAGAATGGATGGATGAGCATAAACCATACTCTTAATATGTGGAAAACAGCTCAGTTCCACCTCACCCTTGTTCTCAAAAACGCTAGGTGATGTAATGCTTTCTGCCACAATTATGTGCTACTTGCCTCCACCCAAAATCCTGAGTTTGTGAATTTATTTGTGTCTCATCCCATCATAAAATATATATCCTTCCCAGGAACTGTCAGGGTAATGTGCTGGCTGGAAGAAGACCTTCGATATCTTCATATTACTCACTAGGGATGTCAACAGGATCTACAGACTTCCACATGGCCAGGAAGCCGGTGTCCACCACGCGGTTGTTGGAGGAGAAGCGGATGTTCAGGATCTCACCGGTGCTCACCAGATCTGCTGGTATGACGTTGTTGCAATGTGTTCCTAGGAAGGTCAGAAGCAAAAATGTTGGAAACTGGAGTCTGATTATCATGGCCTGCTTCAAGCCTTGAGGATCATGTCCATCAGTTAGAAGATGAATGATTTAATGAGCACGAGCATGGAAAGTGCAACCTACAGCTTCTCAGGCAAAACTCCCACTGAACCACAGAGTTTAACTATCAGCCAGAGGTGGACAGTTCAGGTCCAGAAAGTAAAAATCCAGATCAAGATTTTGTTTCAACCAACCAGTTGTGCATAAAGAGTCACAGTCATGGAGAACTCAGCTGCTTGGTTGAAAGCTTGGTAGTGAAGAGCAGCCACCTGCAGTAGTGACCGTGGATCTGGGGGTTAAGGGCCTTGCTCAAGGGCTCACAAATCAAACAAAATCCTGGTCTGGATCTTCACTTTCTGGGCCTGAACCATCCACCTCTGCTATCCGCCATGTTTACCCATCTTTTTACAGGTGGGAGTGATCACTCTTGATAAGTAGCACTGTTGCTCAGTTATGCACTAGCTACTGTTCATTGGGTTACATGGAGCTGAGCCATATGTTAGCAAGGGTGTGATGTGAAGGCATCTGCGGTACTTCACTGCAACGCGAGTGGTGAGCTTTCCAATCATGGAAACAACTATAGCAGTATGTTTAGTGGTAGCCCCTCCTCCAATGCTGCTGCCTGATTCGTCCCACCATGACAGGGGGCGGGGCCCGGCGATGACACACCCAGGCTGCCGATCTGGTCAGAGAGGGCGACGCTGTCGCTTAGGCAGAGTTGGCTGTCCTCCAGGGAAAAGGCCTCAAAGTGTAGGTGCACCAGCTTGCCCTCTGGCGCAAGTATGTTCCACTGGCAGCGGGCATCGTTGCTGTAGGCAGCAGGGTAGCCCATGGAGGACAGTCTGCCCTCGGTGCCCGTCACATTCTTTATATCCCCGCAGCCAGATGCTAGGAGAGAGTGGCGGAGTCAGCTTGGCGACTCGCCCAACACGGGAAAAAAAAGTATGAATAGAAGACTGCCCCCTACTGATCAAGTCGAAGATGTCCTTCCGAATGATGTTCTCTATCCATGGGATGTAGGCGGACGCTCGAGTGAAGACGCTGGGCTTCTTGTCCATGATACAGCCGATGGGCCCGAAGCTGGTGATGCCATGAATCGCCCAGGGTGCCCCGGGGGCTTCCTGGCAAACCAGCGGGCCTCCTGAATCGCCCTGCCAATCGGAAAAGAACTGTGAAGTCAAAAGCATGGACCAGCTTACCCATAGAAAGGTTTACTTGTATTATTCTGTACATTTTACAAAAACTATGAAGACTTCAAAAGTATAAAAAAACATATATGAAATTATGCACTGACCAAAAAAGTATTAAACAAAATAATTTGTTGGGGTCTGTGGGTTGGCTGTTCAAATCTGACCACTGGGCCCTTGTGCAAGTCCTTTAACCCCAGTTTCCCCAGGGACTGGCTGACTCTGCTGTCTCCCCTACACCAGTTCCATGAGGTGGCCTCCTGAGATGCTTTTCCAGCTGTCCTGAAGGAGCTCCCACATATACGCTGAGCACCCATTGGCCACTTTTCCTTCACTCTGCGGTCAAACTCCTCCAAAACCATTTCTAATTGGTTTGGGTCAGGTAGCCTGGTCATGTGATGCGACACTATCACTCACCTTTGTAGGAGGTTAGGTGTGTCCAAAGTTTTGACTGATGCCGTACGTACTGCCATAATTCTCAGCAAAACAGTATCTCAAGAAGCTAGATTTTTTTTAATTTGTGGACTATTTTAAAATGAGGTATTAAAATGGTCACTTTGTTTCTAGAGAGCAGATTTCACAAGCTATTCTGTGTAGTGTTTCCCCTACCATTATATAATAGGGGGCACCCACCTCCCTCCCCCCCTTGAAGGTCAAGTTAATTTGATTTGGTTTTATTTTCTATATAGCGCCAGATCACAACAGAAGGCATTTAAGGTTACCTTTCCTATAGAACAGGTCTATACGTTGTCCTTTTATTAAACAAACTAAATAGCCTTATGTTATTTATCTTATTTACACAACAGCTTGTCTCTACATGGTCACGTGTTCACAATTCTCAGGTGAGCACACTCCCACCAGCGGACAGAGAGCGCGCGTCGGAAAATATGTCACGACAACCACCTGAAAAGCAGACAAAAATATCTGCTCCGGTCAGCAGTGTAAACTGTTGGTTGAGAGGGACTTCTCAGCCATGAAGAGGGTAATAAATACTTTTCACGATGGGATTTTCTGCTTTAAATTATCGCTATTTTAAGCTATCAGATATCACTCTTAAAGCCTAACAGTTTATGTGTTTCCAGGTAAAGACAAACATCCGCAATAGGCTGCAAGGAGACCATCTTGCAGCCTGCATTCAGATCTCAATAAATGGGTCAGATGTTTCTGACTTCCCATATCAAGAGGTTCTAGAAATGCTCTTCCAGAAGCCCAGAAAGATACACTGCAGTGACAAACGCTGCACACTTTGTGGATAATTGTCATAAAAAGAAATGTTCTGATGTTTAGGTCAGTTGTTATATTGACTGCTGTCATTAAAAGAAACACATGAACACCATGAATCCTGTTGATGTCCGTCTGCCCCCCCCCCCAAAAAAAAGCTGTAAACCTAGGAGAAACACTGCTGTGGCTTAGAAGTGAATGGTTTTGCTACAGGAGGTGCGCTGGAGCAGGATGAAAGGGCACTGACCTGGCAGACGGACTTCAGCTCGTCGGGCTTGGTGTAGCCGCAGCAGATCATGGATGGCTTCACCTGGAACCACCAGTAGTCCATCCTCTTGCACGTGTCGTAGGGGACGACGGGCAGAGCCACCTGGTTCAGAGTTTCTGCAGCTTTTGGGGCTGTGGAGTTACCTGTCATGGGTGCGGGGGAGCAGATTTTGTTAACTATCTGCGCATCTTAACAAGTCAGCAGAGCAGTTGTTAGCGACGGCCATGTGAATCACGAGTGCTGCAAAACCGATGTCCGCCAACAGAGGGCGCTGTAGTAACAGTTACCGGAAACAGAGACGCTATTAATGCGTAAATGATTTTCTGTAAAGGCCTCTAAAAGAGGGCCTGACCTGTCTCGTCCCCCCAGCCAGTAGCATAGCACTTCTTATCCTTGGGCAACACCTCCTCCGGGGGGGGCAGGCAGGCGTAGCTGATTTCATCGCCGGGCACCACCTCCCCATCCAGCTGGACTAGAGCGATGTCGAATTCTACGGTGGGCACCTGCGGGTAGCGGAAGCCCTCGTGCCGGTGGATGGCGAGCACGCCGAAACACTTCTGGCTGGGCTCCTCCATCGTCAGATTGTGTTTGCCCAGGCACAGACGCCAGCGCTGCAGCTCATCCGCATACCTGCAGGGGGCGCCCCAGCACGGAGGCGTAACACCCGGTGAACGACTCAGGACTGCTGATCGACTAACAGCCGCCCTCCCATCCACCGTCAGAAATATCCCTTGTTCAATTGGTCTATCTGGAAATGTCGGTATTTTATCGATAATCAGTAGCTGCTAAAAAAGCATATGTGGCTTGAAAATATGATTATTGAGTTAATCACAAATTTTGATATTTGATTTTTGTAGTAATCCAGTCCAATCAGATGTCTTGGTTCTGCCTCCTCTAGTTGCTTGGACCCACCTCCTCTACAATCTGATTGGTTATCTCTCTGAACCAATCATTTGTCTTTCTGCCCACAGAACATTTGCTCAGTTAAGGACATCCTTTAAGTAGTATCGCATTGTTTTATCGTGGCCCCGTCATTTTCAGGACAGTCGAACCATGAATGTCGACAGTGAGTGATGTTGCCGGGGAGTGGTGGGGGGGCTCACCTGATGAAGCAGTGGGCGGCGGTCAGCACCCACTTCCTGTGGATCAAGGTGCCACCACAGGTGTGTGAGAACTTGGGTGTTTCCTGGCTGGCCGGCCAAACCTTTAAGGCATCAATGGGGTGTGCAGGTATTTGCGTTTCACAGGTATTTTAAACAGTTCATGTGTCCTGATGTTCGCCTGATCATTTCCAGATCATTAGCTGATTTTTCAGTACAATTATATGTATCACCCACAATTATGTGCCAGACAGAGACCGTTCTGGTGGACTTGATACAACCATCCCCCAAAAAGGTTGATGATGCACGTTGTATGTTATAGATTTGAGTCCCAGGCGAGCTCCTGAGTGAAGGATGGCTCCAGTTAAATATTCAGCCATATGAATTGGTAACATGCAAACATTTAAGTAGCTTCAGGCAGTGAAACCGTGTAATATGAATTGATCCATGAAAGAGACTTGGAGAAGTATTTCCATGTTATTTTATCGCATTACCTGCATGGAAACCTGCCAAGGCCAGGAGTGGGGGGTAGCCGGTTCTCCGTTGACGATGCGGGTGTTGACCATGGGGGGGATGGCAGGCTTTCCACAGGTGCTTGGCCAGTCTGACGGGGGGGGGGGGGGGGGGGGGAGGGAGATTTGTAAGAAATGCCAAACTCACTCAGACACGCTGTCTGTGGCTGACAGCCATTTCTTCATGGAACACTTCGTCCCACCTGTTCCACATGGAGCCGGAACCGAATGTCTAATGCGCCAGCTTCCCAATCACAACTGCAAACAGCCCAGTGGGTGGCCACTTCGGATAATCAGGAAGTAATTTCGAATTTGGCAAAGTAAAGCGATATTTAATGCTTACCATCTGAGACACAATGCTGACCACAATACCGACCATCTGAGACACAATACTGACCAAAGTACTAACCATCTGAGACACAATACTGACCAAAGTACTAACCATCTGAGACACAATACTAACCTCAGTACTTACCTTCTGACACAATACTGACCACAGTACTGACCATCTGACACAATACTGACCAAAGTACTAACCATCTGACACAATACTGACCACAGTACTTACCATATGAGACACAATACTGACCACAGTACTTACCATATGAGACACAATACTGACCACAGTACTTACCATATGAGACACAATACTGACCACAGTACTTACCATATCAGACAATATGCTGCCCACAATACTGACCATCTGAAACATCATACTATCCACAGCTGGTTTGAAATGTTTAGTACTTTAACAATTTAACAGTTTCTTTTACAAAAAACTGTCCAGTGGGTCCTCTTTACATTAACGGGGCAGGCTGTAAAGTGCTACAATGTTATAAACGACCCCGCAGCTCCTTCCCAGGCTTCTCACTTTGATTTATGAAGCAGGCGTGTCTTGTAGGAACATTCTATGTGTCACTGTTACAGTCCGGATCTGCTATTGTGGTTTTTCTAACTGAATCAGCCTTAGCAGACAAAATATTAGATCGTGAAAAACCGGGTCGAGTCAATGGGATGCGGCAGATATAGGGGGTCAGATGGGGGTCTGCCAGAGGGCTGAGAGAGGTGGGCGGATGTCACGGTTACCTATGGTGATGTCATCCCAGGGGTTGGGCGGCACCGGGGGGTCTGTGGGGGCCGGCTGAGTGGGGTCCGTTGTCCAGTAGGCTCTGAAGCCCTTAGCCTCAGTGAAGAAGTCGGCGTGGAAACGAAGGAGTAAGGTGTTTCCCGTGGTCTGGATGGTGGACGGGAGCTTAGTCCCACAGAACGGACCTCGGGGGAAGGAGAAGAACAGGAGCTTTGCAGAACTACTCTTTAAATGCATGTGATCGCTCAGGAAAAGCCCCGAAAGTCACGCATGGAGGAGCTTATTTAAGTGATCTGTGCATCTGTAAACATATTTCTCCTGGGATTCAAAGGCACATCATGTCACTCTCAGAAGCACTCAGTTGTGCTGGTCCATTTTGTTGTTCCGTCATTTACGAGCGTGGGGCTCCTACCATATCTCGTAGCTCCCGGAGCCGCACCATCATAGACCTGCAGCTGGTCGAAGCACTTCCCAAGAAGGACGCCCGCCTCTTCCACCTCAAAGTGCGTGAAGGTCAGCGTGATGGTCTCCCCTGCGGGCACCTCCACCATCCACAGGCACTCGCTGTTGCTGGCGTAGTTCAAGGGCCAGTTCTGGGACGTGATGATCCCCGTCCTCTCTCGGGAAAAACCTCCACAGCCCTGGATCGCTGACATGAAGAAGGAAGCAATTCTAATGTTTCCATGACTGCTGATCTGGGCCTACAGCATAGAGGTGGAGATTTCAGGTCCAGGGAGTACAAATCAAGGTTTGTTTGGTTTCAACCAACCAGCTGGGTACTCTGTGACTGAGACTCTTTATGCTTTACTGGTTGGTTGAAACAAAATCTTGGTCTGGATTTGTACTCTCTGGACCTGAAATTATTGCAGAGAGCGGGAATCCTATCCCAGGATGCACAGGGCTGGGGACACCCTGGACGGGACATGAATCCATCCCTGGGACCATACAGTAAGTGCAATTTACTGACACAGATCCACAAAAACCACAGGTCTGCGTGCTGTAGGATGAAGCAATAACCATCTTATTTAAATTGCTTAGCACTTTATTGTTTGTGGTGATACATTTAGGTTTATTTGCTTTCAAACCATGCATTTGCCTGGCTCCCCCTGTTGGCCACATACAGTTAATACACTGGGGTCATAAAGGGCTCTGAAGGGACTTTTTAATTGGCCCCTAGAACCAGAAAACCTGGCCCCTTATTAATAACCCAAATCTTCTTAGTAGTGAAATCCGATACTGCCCCCCCCCCCTCCCCACAGCCCCCGGCTCAGGCGTGTCACCTCCGATGTCTTCTGGGTACACAGCCTCCCACGAGGCGGCGAATCCGCGGTCGGCCAGCCGCGCGTCGGACTGGAAGCTGAGGTGCAGCCTGCTGCTGGCGCTGATGAGCAGCGGTGGGAGAATGTAGCCGCAGTGGGTGCCTGGAAAGGCACCAACGGGGCGTGAACACATCCGCCATCTTCACGGCAAAACCCAGAACTGCTGAACTGGATTCTTTATAACTGCGTCACCATTTACTTTTGAAGCAGTAAAAGCATCAGATTTCATTATCATGGGCTGGTGTGTGGCTCAGTTAGTTAGGATGCTGTACGTGTAATCGGAAGGTTGTTGATTCAGATCCCAGAGGGATTTCATGGCCGGGCCCTTGAGCGACCTTTAACCCCCAACTGCTCTAGGGATTGACTGACCCTGCTTTCTCAAAGATTTATGCCACTTTGGGTAAGAGTGTCAAATAAATAAAATCTAATTTATATTTGAGTACAGTGTTATATAAAATTTACCACCAAACCTACAAAACATATGTTGTGGCCAAGGAGCAAAACCACCGTGAATGACTGGAGAAACCGACGAAGATGAAGACGAACGGAAAAAAAAGATTCTCATTCAAAGGTACAGCTGGGGTTGAATTGATTGGAGCTGCGTGGCTGCATTCATTAAGCACAGAACCGTGAGTCATTGTGTTAAAATGTGACACTCTCAGGTTACTTTAAAGGCCGTTTGGGGCATTAGGTAGGAGATGTCTCAGCTGGCAAGGCACTAAGCGTTTGTGACAGGAAGGTTGGATTTTCCAAGACATCCATCCATCCATCCATGTACATTAATTTTGACATATGTAGGGGAGGTGGGTTGGGGCTCATCGTCAAAGCTAACAGCAGTCTCTCACAAAGACCCTGACCCTGCGTTCGATTATCTCTCTCCGAGTCGGAACTCGGATAAAAACGTCACGAAAAACGTAACTTTCCCATCAGAAACACGCCTCCTTTCTGACGTTGATGTCGGACAGAATTTTCTTCTCCGAGATTCCCCTGTGACGTCATTTCAACATGGTGGCTTACACAGCCAACAGTAATTGTATTTTATAAATATTTTAAAATGTTTATTTTGTTAAATGTATTAATAGAAATAAATGTAATTGCATGTGGTCGATTTAGAGAATACCATATCATGACCGTAAACAGTATCCTAGCGTGCAGTATCAGATTTTTACCAGACTTGTTAGTGTCCTTTGTTTGTTTGTAGTTTGTTTGCCACTATGGGTCTACCAAAATATTATAAAGCTTTTAATGTGGTTTGGCTAGTTCGTGTTTCTTGTTTGTTTGTCTCTTGGAAAAAAGACTCTCACTCCAAATCTGCTAAAATATAAAGCAACAACAACATGTTGATGGAAGCAGCCATGTTTGTTCCGAGGTGTGTAGCTCGAACGGGAGATTGTCGGATGTGACGTCACTCACCTCGGAATTTCCGACTTCCGAGAGATAATCGAACGCACCGTGAAACATGACAACTAGCAGCCAGCATTACAGAAAAATTCACCAATCCTCCCTCTCCCAGAAAACCCCTCTGCTCTGTGTTCCAGCCGTCGCTTCGAACTCTCAAAGGTGCAGAGATAAGGTGCAGATAACAGGTTCTGGTGTGAATAACAAATTAACAGCATGTTCACCCCGAGGCCGAGATGCTAATCAACAGCTTCACAGATTAGCTGGACTGTTATCTAAGAAGAACCGTGGTTTGATTGAGTCAAAGTCTGAAGATCACACATACATTTTTGGCATGTCAACAAATCATATTGGATTATATGACCAATTTTATTAGGTAACGGACTGGCAGATGCTATAAAATAAGTGAGGTATATTACTGATAAGCTCCTAAAGGTGGAGCAGCTGAACCAGGATTTGAACCACTGCCCTTCTGGGACACTATTTGAGCACCTTAACCGATACCCCAGGCACGTACCGAGAGACTGCAGCTCATCCGAGACCAGGAGTCTGTCCGGGCCGCACTGGCCCGCCTCCCCGACCACGGCCATGTCCGTGACCTCCAACTTCACCAGCAGACCCTCGGGGACGGTGATGTTCCAGACACATTGCAGGTCAGACGGATACGGCGCAGGAAACCCCTTGGAGCTAATGGCACCTTTGCGGCCCTGCTGAAGGCTGCTGGTTCCACAGCCCGAGTCTAAGCAGAGGAAAAGCGTCACACAGAGAGCGCTCATTTTAGACGAGAGCTTGCTGCTTAAAAATGGCCGCCGTTATTTTGACTGGTGACGTGTCATCTAAGGGAAAAACACACCTGAGGATGTACCGCATGCTGTTATTTTATGATCATGCGTTTTTTACTTTTAAGCGTATGTTAAATGTAAACTGAGAACTCACTGTACTACTGGTTCTACTAGAAATACCAGTATGAGTACAGCTTTAGTCCTTACACCTGTATGCTTTACTGGGGCTTTTCTTTATTTTATTCAAGGACAGAGAAGCTGGGACCAAGCAAGCTGTCCAGATTAGACCGTGGGCCTTTAACCATTTCTCTCCATGCTGCCCTAGTTTGTGTCAGGCGGGCAAAGGGCGCCCCCTGCAGGTTGTACCACCAGCCCGGCCCACTGCCGGGGCCCCACTGAACGCCGTTCGGGGACGGAGTGACAGATGTGTGCCTATTAGCTGCACAGCAATGCAAATTATGGAAATCATCACGATAGAAGAGTCGCCTGGGAATTTCCTCGTTTTTTTTGTGTGTTTTTTAAATAAAGATGCTCCTTTAAGCACGTTGCGCTTGTCAAGCTGCCGTCACGGATCATTAGTCTAAGGTGAAGAAGTGGAAAATGAGTTTAATTTGCTGAGAACGGAATATGAAAATGAGAGCTAAATCAGTGGCCTGGAAGCGATGCCGGGCAGAGATCCTACCGTCCGGCTGCGTCAAGGTGGTCGTGTGGGGCTTATCGCTGGTGACTGGTGGCTTGGTGCTGGTGGTTCTGGTGGTGCTGGTGCGGGTGGTGGTGGTGCCGGCGGCCGGCGGGGCTGTGCCGTACACGGCTCGGAAGCCGTGAGCGTTGAAGCTGGAGTCAGTCTTGAAGCGGACTGTCAAGATGTTGTTACTGGACGCCACCGTACCTGGTGCCGAGCCGCCGCAGAAGCGACCTGAAACGACAGGTGTGGCTTCAGCCTTCCTGCCCCGAGGATCCAGCCCGAGATCAGTCCCCATCTGGACCCGGTGAACTGCACTGGCTCCATTATCGCGCCGAAGAGTACAGACTGTTACTCACCGGTGGGGCTAATGGCATGATTTATTTAATCTTGGCTGCATTCGTTCATGACATTCTCGAAGCAGGTGTGCAGTTTTTCCAAATAATGTCTTTTCAATTAATTTTCCATGCTGTAACGCAGCAGTGGAATAAGGCCACAGGCATTCCTGTTGTTTTACGTGTTGAATTTTTAGTTTCCTAAAGTCTCATGTCCCGTTTATGAATCATACGCGCAGGAGTGGCTCTGAATGCCACCACAAGGGTTTGGCTTCCAAAAAACAGGCTGTATGTGTCCAGACAGAGGTTCTCAGCTGGGTTTTACTGGGCGGGGGGGGGGGGAGGGGTGGTCACGTGTCTTTACCGAGGATGGAGGGGCCGTCGTACACCTCTACAAAGTCACCACAGGCCTCGGGAACCAGGTCGAAATCGGAGAAGGTGAGCCAGATCCTCGCCCTTGCCGGCACCGTGATCCTCCACTGTGACATCACACAGAGTTTACATGTTAGCGTCATGCGAAGAAGAGGCGCGTGGGAGTTTGTAATTATATCTTTGTGGGGACTCTCTATTCATTTCTATGGGGAAAATTCTAATCACAACATGACGACCTTAACCCCTACCCAGCCCTAACCTTAACCATAAGTAACTAAACAAAATACGAGGCTTTTGGCATTTAATGCAATTTAATTTGGCCACAATGTCAAAAAAATAGGTCCCCACAATGTAATATAAACACAATACACACACACGCACACACCCCGATGTTTGGGTTAATACCCCCCCCCCCCATCTTTTAATAGGCTGCTCCCTGGACGGTTGCATCAGCGCTAACACCAAATGTGGGTCGCCGCGCTGTTCGCTAACTGCTCTGTTTGCTGCATGCTGATTGGACGATGCAAACCCCCCCCCCACCCCCCAAGTGTGGAGCCTGACCCCCTCTCTAACACAAGCTGGCACAGGGCTTCCGATTCTGAGGCTCCAGACGTTCGGATTCCAGACGCGGAAACGGCGCTGTCCTCTTTCAGGGGGTCTGTGACCCAAATTGCTGGAGTTAAATTATTCAAGTGCATAAATAGATATAAAAATCGCAATCTGTCTCGACGGCTTTGAGTAACACTGTCTGCTAAGTAAGTGAGCCACTGTAATAATAACCTTATTCCCGTCTAATAATTTATAACATTCCCATCATCAAATAAGCTTAATGTTGCAGTGGGAAATAGTTTTTATTTGTATGGTACTGATGAGAGGAATGATATTTCTAAGCTCTGGGACAGCAGTAACACCACCTCATTTGGAGGTTCATACGGCCATATAAGGTGGGTTTGGATCCCACGCCCAGGTGGTACCTGGTACGTGACCCCATCTTCATAGTTCTTCTCAGGAAATCCTGGGGTCTGCAGGTCCCCTTGGCTACCTTGCAGGTGGCCGCCCGCTCCGGCTATTTCTGGAAGCAGGAACGGAAATCGCCTCAGCTTCTCGGACGCCTACGGGAAATACCTCCACCCCCGTCACTCCCCCGTCACTCCCCCCATCACTGGGATCCTGTAACTAAGCCTGCGATCCTCTTGGCCCCAGAGGCGACACTCAATGTTCCTGTTACATGTCACGTGTCACATGTCTCGGGTCCGCAGGCGGCCTACCCGCGGTGCGTTCTGGGCTCATGGCGCTGTAGCGGGCTATAAAACCCGTGTCCGTGCCCCGCTCGTTGGTGTCGAAGTACACCGTCAAGGTGTTTCCCAAGGAGACGATCGGTTTCGGTTTGACGTATCCACAGAACTTTCCTGCAAAGGTTAAAAAAGCGTGACGGCTCAGCTAAACACAAGCCTTATCCCGCTTTTGGCTGTTTTGCTCCCTGCTAATCACCATGGCCTTTATTCACGTGAAAAACAGTCGGGGTAAAACGTCACAGAGCGATTCTGGACGGCTGACCCTACTGCGGGCACAGCCTGCTGCCTCTCTGTGTCAGATTAATCCGGTTATGACCGCTTTAAGGCGGAATGGACCGGCTCGGCAGTCCGTCAGCCTCTGTGGAGGTGCCGAATTGGGCATGACTTCAAAGCCCAGTCCCCCCCTCAGCTGCCAAATGGAGCAGGTCGAATGGGCAGGGTGGGGCAGGGGGAAAGGTTAGTGGAATCGGGGTTGGAGGGGGGCTGCAGACCCTCCATGGAGTCACTGGGTCAAGCGGGGAGTCAGAGAACGGGCAACATTAAAGGAAATTGAGAAAGTGAGCGTTTGTTGTCTTCGGGGGGAGGTGGGGGAGGTTGGGGGGTGTGAACAAGAGTGTTTCAGATTGCAAGGTGACTGGAGAGGCTTGTTAATGAGCCGACAGGACCTCGCAGGGAGGGGCCTCTGAATGTGTGACAACGGGGGGAGATTTTCACAACATCCTACAATGTAATAACATAGGGAGTACAGTGGCTGCCTCATATCATGGGGGTGTGAAGCTGCTATCTATCAGGATGCTAGACCCCCCCCCGGCCATGACAGCACCCTCTGATCCTCACCAATCATCCCCAGGTCGTCCTTCACCGACACAGAATCCGACTGACATAAGATAGAGTCCTCCAGGGTGAAGTCTTCAAACCACAGATGGATGACCTGAAACATAACAAGGGGAGAGTCCGTCCGTGATTGGCTGCTCCCTACACTAGCCCCGCCCACCCATGCCTCCGTCACAAAGTCGGGCAGGTACACACCTCGCTGATCCGTATGCGGCATCTTCAAGATCTACAGAGATGACCTTCAGCAATCTTAAAGCAAGCTGCACAGCTAGCTGGTTATAACAACCATCTTTTGGTCTGAAAATCTATTTCTTTAGATTTGTCTTTATTTTGCATTAGCACAGATACATTGGAATTCTTCAGCTTTTTGCATGTCCCATCTTGCTCTCCTTTTAAGACACATATGCACAGTTGAGACCAAAGCTGGACTATTTTGGAGGCAGGGGATTAGGGTTTAGACCCAACAGCCATGACTAGTTTGCTGAGAATGGGATTCAAACCTGCAACCTTCCACTCACTAGTACAGAGGACTAATAGGCTGAGCCACACATCACCCCCACTGAAGCAGCTACCTGAGATAAACATTACATTTATTAACCATGAACTACATCCCAGCAGCACTATGTCACAATACATATGTGGCTATGTCTTTGCCGCAGTTTGCGCATATGCTAATGGCGCGATAACTGCACAGTGGCATATCCCACGTCTGCTCTGCCATATGCGACTAGGAGATAATTGAGCTAATATGCACAGGCGCTTGGGCAGCCAAGCGTGGGGGAACACGCTTCTATTTTCACCAGCCGCTCCGTATCCGGCCTCGCTTTCTGGGTCAGGCCGGGACGGATTTATCTCCACCTTGTCTGGATCGACGGTGATGCGCCAGCTGCAGCTGGCGCCGCTGTCGTAGCTGCCGGGGTAATTCCCGCTGGCGAACTGTCCCGACGGACCGTCCAAGGGCTGCAGGCTGCCGCACTGGGACTCCGCTTCGGCCTCTGTGAGCGCAGACGAGAGAACAGACCCCGTAAACAAACGCCTGTTACTTCCCAGAGTGACAGATCTTATAATCGGCTCCTGCAGCAATTTCTGCCAGTCGAGAGACTGTTGTACCAGCACTTAAATGCATGTACAGCTTGTACAGTCAGTACAGTCACTCCTCTGGATTTGCAGATTTGACATTTATGGGGTCGGTTATTCATGAGTTGGCCGTGAACAATTAAACGGGAATATTTTTGGAGCAGAAACTGGCAGTCAACACAAAAGCCAGAAATGTATAAACAATACTGAAAATGATTTGGATTACAAATAATCATATTATATATAAATATTAGTGTTATTTAATATTTGTCAGTGTAAGTGCATGATACATCTTTAATATTAAACTGTGGGATCTATGCATCTTGGCATGTCTTTGTCTCAGCAACCAGCCTCACTCATGTGTTAGCTGCCGATCATGACTGTGCAATCCCATGCAGTAAATTTTCAGTACCACTAATTTTGCCTTTTTGATTCGTGAATCGTCACATTCGTGAGGATCTTCCTCTCCTAACTCTCGCGAAGGTGAAAGAGTTACTATAACTGATTTACTCTGTGCCACAGCAAATAATGTGCAGGGGTGTAGGTCTGTTAGCTCGAGCTACCAGCTTGGAGGGGAAATTATTATTTTCCGTTTTAAAACATTAGGACGGGCCTCCAGGTCGGCATTCAATTTAACATTCCTTCAGGTTCCGACAGGACAGTTAACAGCGCACTGCTGTTGTGCAATGGCACCAATAGCATAAATTTGCTGCATATAAACAGTGGGGGGGGGATAGCCTGATGTACACCATGGACGGGAGAGTGGTCCACTCACACATACACCAATCATCAATAATTCCCCCAAATAATGTATCTGAAGAACCTAGGGCACCAAGAGTGCCCCCATGTGGAGAGAATGAGCAAATGCTCCCACACAGAGCTGGGACCTCATTCGAACCCGCAACCGTGGGGGCACCGGCGCTGCCTTTGGAGCTTATCCATTACATCTGCCTGACTAACTGTGCCATGTGCTGAACTGAGAACCGCTATGGCCTTAATGAGAGCTAATATATCCTTTTACAGCTAATATATGCTTATGTTCAGCTCAGAAACTCTGCCAAGCCACTGTGTGCTGTTTCTGTGTCTTTAGGTCTAATTAAAATCTTATGTAAACACTGAAATAGTCTGATTAGGGTATGATGCTGTTTTCTAGCTATTCCAAGCTCAGCAGTTTTTACTCTGCTTGTAATGACACTTCAGCACAAACAAGATTCTCTCCCATGGGCCAATCCAGATCATGGGTGTGATCAAAGGCTGCAATTGGCCAGAAAACACTCTCTTGGCCAATCAAAATGCTAGAATACTGATAATTCTACTGATTTCGCGTAGTTATCTTATCTAGGTTATCTATGTTATCTACGTGCAGGTATGCCAGCTAATAAGTTGGCTGAGCTGATCTATTTGGCTTGCGCAGATCTACGATGGCAATGTGGTCCCACGCGAAGCACAGATCAGCGGCGAGCAGTGAAAAAGGTGTCCTCGCACTGGACCGTACAGATAAACCCGTTGAGAACTCGTCATTAAATATTAATATGATATTTAAGAGGAGTGACAGATGAATTATCGTCTGCCTTTGGGTGTCAGAAGCCTTTGCTCTTTAGTCCTGATCTCTACTGCGAGCAACAGACACAGAGGATGGGGGCTAAAGACGGTACCTTAACACCCCCCTGTCCCCCGGCATCACTCCTCTCACTACAGCTGTGGCCCCTAGCGCCCCCTCCCTGAGCGCTGGGGGCAGATAGCGACTGAGATCTGACCCCCAATGCCGTTGGTGTGCAGTCCCGTTTAGTAGGCACCGGTCGGCATCACAGTGCTGTCCTAAGCTGTGACCCACACTATCTTTCCAAATATGAAACACAAACATAAGACATATACAAAAAGCTTTAAATAAGCCATATATCCTCCGGGAAGGTGAAGTAATAGTTTGTATGTTTGTCTGTGCACCATGTACCTTGATGCTGGGGTCAATATGTTCCACCTGGGGTCAGTAAAGTTTATTTAATGTAATTAAATGTAATGTAAACTAATATTTAGATAGTTACAGATCGGAGCTGGTGCGCGCATGCATGCGTGCGTGTGTGTGCAATGACATGCATGTCAGTGAGATCGCACACGGATGCCCTTGCACAGACAAACGGGCTGATGTCGCTCTGCCCCAAACCGGCGAGGCTCCTGGATGCCGTCTGGCCGGTAAGACCTGCTTCACCCGGCATGTCGGTCCCCTGCCAGCACTGCGGGGCCCGGCTGCCGTCTCCGGGCCGCTCGGGGCACCAGCTGGCCAAGGACGACCTTGGCAGATGTTCATACCACGGAGTCAGTCTTGCTGACCACCCCCCCCCCCCCGATCATCGAGCCGGATCAAGCTGACACACAGCATGCAGCTCCTGAAAATTTATTTCCAATTCCCCTCTGACAGCTATGATTTTTTTTCAGCCTTCCAGACTTTACATTATGTGATTTAACTGATATTTTTTACATCAGACTGCTTCGCTTCGGAATGTTTATTCCTAATGCCAGTACTAACAGGTTAATTTCACAGTATGGCTGTCAGAACTGATAGCAGTAATAAGTAATATTTGTGCCATGTCTGCCATTGACGCATAATATAATATAACTTGTATTCATCCAGGTGCATCTATCCACAGCCTAGGCAGGATGGTACCTTGACGGCAACGGCCTTTGCTTATTTTGGGCTACTTTGGTTGCTCTCAGGTTTGAATGCCAAGGCCTTACTGGTTACTCACCATTTCCGCTGGAAGACTTCTTGTTCTCGACGACGTAGACCGCCACCAGTCCGATGCATACCCCAGTAAAGAGCACGCAGAGGAATATCAAGCACTTCTCCAAGGTGGAGAAACCTCTGGAAGTGGGGCGGCTTCCCTTTGCCATGTCGTCGCGGTGACGGCGTCCCGATGCAAGAGGAGGCGAGGCACTACGCAGTCTAGGTTTATAGCGGCCCGCTCCCTCTGGACTGCGATTGGCTGGACCTTGTCCTCCCCAGGAGGACAGAGTTCTTTCATTAATGGTTAAATCAAATAAAACGCAACATGATTACGGAGGCAAAGGGGTACGAGGTTTAAACCAAACGTTTGCCGTAAATCTCCATGTCCACTCCTCAATATTCACCCCACGGCTGCCTAAGAAAACTGCAGAAAGCTTCCTCCCACGTACCCTTATTATTTTTGTTTGGTTCATTAATTATCGTTCAGTTTCTGGATGCATCTTCAAAGGTACAAGCAGAAGGGCCCAGCATTTCATAGGGGCCCCTGAACATGAATAGTAATGACATTCTTAAACATTATGTATTATTATGTATTATTATACATTATTAACAAATTATTAACAAATTATACGTGTGGGGGACCCCTCCCTCTCAGTTAATCCTACTGCGGGGGCCCAAGGTGACATTATGTCAGGGGGACCAGAATTTCTAATCACGCCCCCCCCCCCCCCAGATAGACGAGCTGTTCCTTTTTCTGGGACTTGAACCAGTAACCTTGCGGTCATGAGGCCAAGCACTTAGACATCATTAAACGGCATTAGATGTCAAGGAAAACCGAAATAACGCAGCAGTATGCTGAGCAGGCGAGGATGGGCCCAGCAGACCAGCTGGCGGAGATGCCAGAAACGCCGCTTATTTACAGAACAATTGCATGTCGGCTCCCGAATGCCAAGCGCCGTCTCTCGGAACCCGGAACCCGCGGCCCGGAAACTTCCACAATCTGTTTTCAGCGGTGAGAGCTGATTACCAGAGTTTTTTGCTATTTTTTTCGCGCCGGGCTTCGGAGTTTAGAAATATCTGACTGCTTGTGGGGGGGATGGGGGTTGTACGATTTGTCGCTGTGTTTAACGGACTGTTTTTACCATCTGCTTCTCTTTCCTAATGTCAAACTAGACACTGAGAAGAAGACAGAAGACAGAGAGTTTGCCTGTGATAATATCACTGCTGTTCCCAAAAACTCATCCGTCTTCCCAGCATTGCATATTCACAGGGTCCGAGTCGACTGGGAGGCGGTTCCGCGGACGCCTGCGGTCCCAAAGCAGAGGTCGGCATGACTGGGGTTCCAGGTCCTCAAGGCCATTTGTACTATTCTCTGAATTTTAGAAAAAAGACATTAAAAGTATAAAATAACATATATGGAATTATGCACTGACCAAAAAAGTTTTAAACAATAATTATTAAGTTGTTGGGGGTGGGGGGGCATCTCCATGGGTTGCTGGTTCAAATCCCTGGGTGGGCAGAAGGATCCCACCAGCGGGCCCTTGAGCAAGGCCCTTAACCCCAGCTGACCCCACTGTCTCCTCTACACCAGTTCCATGAGGTGGCTGGATGTTTTTCCAGCTGTCTTGAAGGAGCTCCCTCATATACTGTACACTCACTGGCTGCTTTTCCTTCATTCTCTGCTCAAACTCCTCCAAAACCATCTCTACTGTGTTTGGGTCAGGTGACCAGGTCATGTGATGCAACGCTACCACTCTCCTTTATAGGCAACTTGACTGACGAGTGCTGCAGGGATCGAGTTCTCTTTTGCAGGGCACACAGTTTTACAGTACACTCTGCAGCACTTTGCTATCTATCAGGACAGAGGAACACAAAGGCAGGTATTTACTGCCCTCATAAATGGTCGAACCTGAGCTTTATCTTGGATCCAAACGACTGTAACATCAACTGACTGCAGAAGGACACAGCAGCCCGACTCGCAGGTACCTCATCATGGAACCCATAGAACGTGTGCCACGTTGTCTTATACCCAAAGGATGCGATACAGTCTGCTGCCCTGGCCCCAGAGTTCGTGGAATTTGCAGGTTCTCTTCATGTTTGTCTGGATTACCTCTGGGCAGGCCAGTGTTTTCCACAGTCAAAAACTGGTATGTGTGACTTTGCACCCTGCGATGGACGAGCATGCCTCTGAGCTGGGCGCTCCAGGCTTATCATGACCCTATACAGAGAGAAAACTGAAGATAGATGGATGGATGGATGGATAGTGATACCATCTGAACCGATTTCATCTGAACTGAAAAGAACTGTTCCACAGGATTGGTTTGTCTTCCAAGACACTGGCCCATTGAGCCAAAGCTCATCTCCACATGCAGTGTAACTCTAGCCCAAAGCTCTGGATCTTACTTGTGGCCTTAATCTAGCAGCAAAATGTCATCGAGGTTTGGCTAAGTCCAGTTTTGGCTTCAGAACTGAGCAGAAACCGAACGCAAGCTCACAGTTCAGTTATGAGGCTAGCAATAGCTTCGAGCTGAATGCGAGGAACCGCATCTCCCAGAAGAAACAGGGAGGGTGTAACCACACCCACATGACAAAGAGGGAGAGTGTAATCATGTCACACCACAAAGAGGGAGAGTGTAACCATGTCACACCACAAAGGGGGAGAGTGTACTCATGCCGCACCTCAAAGACTTCCTACAATGGAAGCACTATTTCCACATAGCATGCTTGTTTTTGTGACTGCTGTATGAGATAGGGGCTTCTGGAAAGCAGTTCTTTCTCTAAAAAAATCATTCTCTTCATTTTAGCTCCTAATCATAACAGACTGATTGTTTAAATAATCCTGAAATTATCAAGTGAAGACCGTTTTGCAGGCCCAATAGTATCAGGAGAATAAGGTCATGGTTTATCATCATCCTCTGTAATTACTAGAATTCATTTCTGATGGTGCATAACCTAAAATTAAAGTTTAAAATAACTTGCATGCTGTGCAATAGATTGGGCTCCACAGTGACATGTGAGGGGACTTAAATTCTGGGTCACCCTCTCTTCTGAACGCACATCCCTTCAAACTCAGAGATGAGAGATATAACAGGCCAGCATTTAGATCACATTCATCCACAAAAAAAAGACGTCGACTCCATTAAATTTAAATACCTAACATATCCATTAGATAATGTCTCATTTTCACCACCCCTTTTGCAATAAAATGAAGAGCAAATTGCGAAAAGTAGCTTTTTATCCCAATCGAGCGGTCCTAATAGCACGGAGACCTAAATCTGCACAGGAATAGCCATATGCTGCAAGCACAGGTCTTAAGTACCACCCGTTTTTCCGTACGAAATATGAACTGTAATTATTACGCTTTTTCACTTATCACCAAGAACCGTGCCGTACCCAAGCCGTACGGCGAACTGGCGGTTTTCTATTGTCAAGTATGCAAGCTGTACCCGAGCCGTGACCGCGCTGACATAATCTTCATAATCATCCTTTTTCGAACTAACAATTCTTCTCCCACCTGCTTTCTGTATGTTAAACACTGGTGGTAACATCTGAAATAGCAATTTATGAGTAACTTACAAAATAAATATATAATGATGATAATAGGCCAACTGTAGTAACAGTAACCTAATATCTTTCAATTGGTGTGACATCTTTCCACTAAGGATGCTGAGGTGCCACCTGTTAGAATCCAAAGGTATCCTATTTGTTTTCTCGTTTCTCCACCAAGACACCTACGATTTATGAGTACATCTATCAAGCATAATAAAACAGCCTTTAATGGAGCGGGGAAGGTGACCTTGAGCAGGATGCGACATTCTCCGCGACTGGGTGCAGAACGATGATTGATAACCCGCCCGAAACGCAAACGTCGCGACTCGCGAGCGTGTCTTCGCATGCGTGCGCGCTCACTGCGAAAAGTCGCGAGCCAAAAAGCGGAGTCGCGAGCGGGCGAAGGGGCGGGAGCGCGCACTCGTACGTAGAAGCTGGACAGGATGGGACATCTGTGGATCGAAGGATCCACCGTCGCTCAGCCACTGTGAACACAAAATATTAAACGACAGCTCAAATATATAAGGGGTTAAAAGAATAAAGGCAATATACAGTAGGCTACAGGATATAGTGTTTTTTTGTAGGCTACCCGATTATTTTCAGGCAAAGGCTGGTAGGGAAGCAGCGAATGGAGTGACAATGACAATAATAAAACAGTGGCATCGAGCGTATAAATGCATAATAAGACTTATCTTAAAATCGAACAAATGTCTTTCTCACAACTGGAAACTATTAATGAACTTTATTAATGAAATCAGAAGCGCGCTAGTTATAACATTACGCTTCGTACAATTAGGTTTATTAAACATCATTTGGAAAATTACATTGTTCGGGATCTGAACGATAATCATAATGGATTTTACACAATGTCTTTTATCCATAACATTTAAACTGCTCTGTGGTGTCTAACTAGGTCGAATGGTCTGAAATGTAAATGAGACTTTGGATGTACTTCAAACAGGTAGCCTACTCTACTCTGTCTCAGCTCCAAGGATTTAGACCGGTTTGGTATAAACAGAATATTAGACTAAACTCATTAATCCGAGGACTGTTAATATTAAAACATATATACGAACTGTACAGTGCTTGCATGGGCTAATTCGCAGCTTATAAGACAAAAAACTGAATGCAATCAGCTTTGACAGCTCTGAGATTACGCTCAACGCCGAAATCTCTGTACTGAACATAATCTGGATTAGGCAGCAATAAACTGTGCATGGAAATCCTTTCACGGGAATTTGATTAGAGTGACCTGTTCATTAAATCTCGTTATTAAAAGTGCATTGTGTTATCTAAACACTACAGTCGTTTCTGCGTTATTGATGCAAACAGTGCAGAACAACGGCCGGCGCTTGCTAGTGTAAAATACATCTTTCTCTGCTGTTCCCTTCAGACTGTAAGATCTTGTAAAACCCCCAAAAAGCGTCAAACGTAATTACTCATTGTTATCAACATATACACCCCAGGCATCTTGGGAATTGTAGTAATTCAGAAAACATGCCCTAAAGATTGTTTAAAATACTTAAAATCTTTCCTTTATTATTAAACAGTTTTGTCCTGGTAAAGTATGGAATAGTGGGCATGTAATGTGATTTATGAGCACATATTGTTCAATTAAAAAATTAAAACGCTGGAATTGCACCAAGTGCCTTAATTACATGCCAGAGGAAGCTTTGTTCTGTTTCGCATTGTTTGCGGGAGAAGTCTTTAGCGTGTCCCAGCGTGAAGTCTGTTATTTCGGGAAATATGACTGGCGGCCTTTTTTGAAGACCTGTCACGAAAAGCCATGGAAAGCGAGGGCGCCAGTACGCGCTTTTTCCTCGGGAACTGGTGCATCCCCACAGGACCAGCCTTGCCGGCAAGTCCAGGAGACTGACAAGGACACCAAGAGCGGAAAACGCGCCGACACTTAAGCCAGAGACGGAGCAGAGGGGTGCGGTAACTTAACACTAAAAAGGTAAAACAGAGTTACCTTCATCCCCGTGTGGGTGCAACAGCAGGGCTGCCGATCTTTGGTCAGTTGGCTGGCGTGAGATTTTCAATTCGAGACAATTAAGACTGCACACGCATCTACATGTAACAGTTTTATTACCTAAATAATAAATAGTCTGTAAGGTTTGCGAACTACCCTAACGCTTTTGAAGTAGCTAAATTTAGATTTATAATGGGATGATATATAGATTTGCCGTAAGATTTCACACGCCAGAATTCACAAGATTTGGCAACCCTGCAATAGGTAACACATAGGAAACCCATTGCGGGTTCCGTCCAGAACCGTCTGACCACACAACGCTCTGCAGCTCAGCCCAGTAACAGCGAAGTGCCTGAAAAGATAAACACCTCATTAATGAAGCCAGTTTTACGCAGCCATTGCCATTTCTAAGCTTATTTTCAGTATTAGAAGTGTGACATCTACTGGAACTGACAATACTGCCCCTTAGAGAGAAACAGCAGCTGGTGCCAAATCAGATTTGAGTCAACGGCATAATAAAAAGCTGGTATTAATGAAGACAGCTTGATGACATCGCTGGTATCTCCCTGTATTATTTAAAAAAATGTTCCTGAAAACAATCTGCAGTGAGCCAGGCATTTTCTGACCTCCTCAAGATGCACAGACCGCAGAAGGAATGGGGGGAAAATACAGCTCTCTCCAGACAGAAAGTGGCTTGGAAACACCCCAGTGTTTGCTGTCTGAAAATGAAAGAAACCCCTTTAAGCCTTTCGAAACAGGCTTCTGCTTTTGCACGCAGCAGTGGTCTCAAAGGGGATAAGCAGAAGATCCGCATGAGCGATCCACACATCGCAGCCAAACTACCTGCAGGCTCGTAGTCCTTTAATCAAGGCTCTTCTTAGTCTCTGGCACAACTCGACAGTATATCAGACACTTAGCAGTCATTAAGTAAAGAAAGCAATGGGTCGTTCTTCTGAAGACATTCTGCTTCCTAGCGTTTGAAAACAATAGTATGACATGCAGCTCTGAGGACACAGTCTAACGCACCCTAATTCTACAGTATCAGATGAACGAGGTGACAGAGGGATGTGCAAAAATGTAAGAACGCCCTCTGCTTTGCTGGAAACGGAACCCACGCGAAGATCGGAGCTCTTCAACCTGGATCTCTCGCGGCATACGGACGGCAGCGCCGTTTCCAACCACGAAACCCGTCTTCGGTCAAGATGTCTGGTCCACATAGGGCTGCCCCCTACCTTTTCAGGTGCCCCAGGCAAATCTTCACTTGGGAGGCCCCCCCCCCTAACAGGAAAACCGATGATCATTTCGCTTCCTCCACAACGCAGGTAATTCAGGAAGCCTGGGCACCTGCCTCTTTAGCCTACAGCTATTGGCCGGCCCTGGGTGGGCACCTGCCTCTTCAGCCTACAGCTATTGGCCGGCCCTAGGTGGGCACCTGCCTCTTTAGCCTACAGCTATTGGCCGGCCCTGGGTGGGCACCTGCCTCTTTAGCCTACAGCTATTGGCCGGCCCTGGGTGGGCACCTGCCTCTTTAACCTATAGCTATTGGCCGGCCCTGGGTCCACATTTCCAAAATGCTACAAACGCTAAAGTTCCTCAAAATTTCACAGATCGATACTGCTTTAAATATGCATGTGAAAGTTGCGTCAAGGCCTTAATCCTAAACAGAGTCTTAAAGCTGCCAAAGTAGAGGAAATCAGATAAACTACGAAGACGTTGAATCAATATTCATCTCTGTGATCATAGCCGGTATCCCAAAACAGTTATACATTCACCACAAGTGTAACTTGTAGCAGCAAGCAGTACCCTCCTCAAACCTATAACTTTAAAAAAACCTAATAAATAAAGGAAGGAAATTAATTGATAACATCAATGTCGCATTTATTAGGATAAAAGATAAATAGTGATACATGGTAGAGTGATTAATATGATAGTCTGTCACATTTAAACTTTCTTAGAAAAACAGACTTTGGCAGTTTGGGTCTTGCTTCGGATGCATAACTGACTCAGTCAAAAATCATCCCGTAATTAGGAGACCAGAGGGTTGCACAATATGTTCTCCTCTTTCAGTGTGGGGGGAAAATGGCTCTGTGTTACTGCAGGAACCTCTAACCAGTAAGAAAAGCCTTCACATGAAATCTGAGATTAAATTCAGCACCATCCAGTCCGGAGGCCGGCTTTGGGACAAACACAGAGCCGAGAAGGTGGTCTACTGCTCATCGAGACAAAATAACCAAGTCCGAAGAGAAATGTGAAATTAAAAATCTTACCAATTTGACATATAAATCAGGGTACTCGGTAAATTCTGGGGAACATTAAACAAATTCATACACTCCACTGTAAAGAGAAATGCGATATTTAGTCACACAAGGTGTGTAAAAGTTATTTGCTGAATGGTACACAGTACTATGCGGGATGGGAGCAAGTCCATGTTGGGGGGGGGGGATCTACTGTCAGCACTAATTCACATGCAGCTTGCTACATATTATTGCTGTTTTTGAAATACTGTTAAAATCTTTGCCCCCCCCCCCCCAAGTGGTATGATCTAAACTGGTTATAAAACACTCAGCAGGACACCCTCTTTCCTGACTGGCCGATTGCTCGGACGTACGAGTTCAGCTGGACGCTGGAAGTAGTCTCTTGTACCAGCATCCCTACGGCAGAGACGGCACCGACGAGGCCGCCCCGCCTGTGGCCTGGGCCGCCCGCCATCCGGGCCGCCTGCCGTCCATCCTTCAGTCCAGCACCGAGGAGGGGGGCGGTCTCGAGCAACAGTTCGGCCGGCGGACACTCTGCAGCATGGAGCGGAAAACGCTGCGGTTGCCACGCTTGGGCTTCCTCCCCTGCGAGGCCTGTGAGGAGATGGACTTGCGCAGTGAGCTTCGAGATATCGTCTGATTCTCGTGCTCCTTGATCTTGTTCTGTAGGTGGCTCTGGATGGCGAAGCCGAGGGACTCGGGGTCGACGGAGGCCCCGTATACCTCCCACGTCATGCCCTGCTCGTCCCACACCACGTCGTGGATGCTCTTCCCCTTGTTTGACTTGCTCGCGGCCACTGTGTCCTTCTTCCGCTTGTCCTGCTCTCTTTTCTTCTGCCCCCGGCTCGCGGTCGCCTCTCGGTCGGGCTTGTTGCCTTGTTGGCGAGTTGCCTGTTTGACGGCTCCATCCTTCCTCAGCTCCACCCCATCTCCCTCCAATAGCTTTTTTAATTGAGGTGGATCATCCACTTTTGATTCATTCCTTTTCATGCAAGGAGGTACAGTTTGTGTGCAGTGGTCCATTTGTAAGGCAGGGGGTACAGCGGAGGGACCCTCAGCTGCCTTTGGTGGTGAGGCAGCGATGGCCGGAACCGCCTGATTGGATGTTGCAGGTTTTACGGGCAGACCTGCGTCTGACACTTCTGCTGCATGTCCACTAGGGGGTGCCACAGATGCAGTCGGGGCTGTTGTGAGTAACCCTTTATTGTGCAGGTCGCTGTCAGATGGTGGGTGAGACTCGATGTTGATTTGATAAACAGGCTGCAAGGGCGGAAGAGCTTTTTGGATGTTGCATAGAAGCCCTGGTTCATTTGATTTGGACCCCAGTCCGATGTCCTGCTGCAAGGCCGAACCTGGACACTGGTTGATGCTGGTGCTCACGTTGGCGCACAAACCGGCCTCTAATCTGACCTTCTCGGCTAGGTGGTCTACAGCCTGGAGGCTGGCACGGTGCTGAAGGCCCGTGTGGATGTGTGTGGCCACAAGTGTCTGGATCCCTGCGTCGCAGAAGACCACGCCCCCTGCCGACATCTCGTCGGAGGACAGAGACTCTACATTTGCCTGGTAGACGATGGTGAGGCTCTCTGCTTCCTCCTTCGCGGTGCTGATGGGCTTGTGCGGCACAGCGAAGGGAATCATATGGGGGCTGGTGCCTGCAGACTGGCTACGGACATCGGCGACCGCCTGCACCTCAGCATCCTGGCACCTCTTCACGGAAGGTGGGCAGCATTCCACGGAGGCTGTCATGGTGGCGGCTTCCTTATACTGCTTCTGGCGCCCCTGCAGGTTTGCCTGCTTCTGCTCTGCAGTGGTGTCCTTACCGTTGATAGCTTTGTGCCCCACATCCGTAGGAGACCATTCTCCATTGCGTCTTTGCCCCTCAGATGTGGGGTTCTTGCTTGGTGAAGCCATTGATGGCAAATCCGTTTTGGAGATGGGCTTCGAGTCTCCTGGACTCTTTACATCCTTCTCAGGACCCACGGGCTGTAGTAGCTTTTTTGTGGTCTCTGCCACGTGCCGGTGTTCCGCTAACATCCCATCTCTCAAAGTGTCGGACGACTTGTTCCCTGTTTTGCATTCTGATTTTTGACGACCCACCAAAGACGTTCCGGAAGCGTCTGTCTTTGCACTCTGTAGGGGGGGTTCTGGAAACATGGGGCTGGAGACCAGAGAGGTGGAGATGCCAGGCAGAATAGCGCCACCCTCTGACATCTGGGAGAGCGGCGTGCCGGCCTCTGAGCCCACCCTGGTGCTGTTTGCGTTCCCTTGCATGCGGGATACTTCTGAAGAGCTACTCCGCGGACTTGAGCCGCGATTTGAGTTGCGATTCGACTTCAGAACCGTGGCCGATCCATCGTTACTGTTCCGCAACCCCTCACACGCATCCGTTCTGAGGTTCTGTGCTTTTGATTCTGCCGACACTTCTTCAGAACATGGAGCTTTCGCTCCTTTGCCGTCCGTCGGTGTATCGACCTTTGATGGTGCAGCTGATGCAGGCAGACCAGCTTTACAAACATCTACTGTCCCAGCAGTGGCTAATGTGGTAAGATTAGCATTACTATCCACGCAGCTGCTCCTCACGACATTCGGGCATTGACCTGTCTGGCCTTCACTAGCCCCTGTCTCCTCATCTTTCTCCATCTTGACACTTGCGGGTCTGCTTGGGTAAGATGGGCACCTAGCCCGTAACTTTCCACCCTCCAGAGGCTCGCACGTCGTGAGAGCGCTCAAGGGTTCTGAGCTCTCCTCGCCCTGCCTACATTTTGATGTCACTGCTGACGTTAGATTCTGGTTCCTCTCCCTTTCCAGGATGGTGCTTGAATCCCTTCTTCTCAAGGAGTTGCTGACAGCTAGCTGAGGGGCCAGCTGAACCGTAGTGGTCCTTTTGGGATTTGGAACAGTCCCCATTCTCAACTCCCGTTTGCGACACTGAAAAGCGAAGGGATCCAGGGGGTAACTGTACTTCTCAGAAGTCAACAGCTGCCTCCACGTCGGATTTCCTGAAGCAGAAAACAAACATCAGAGTGAATTTGCATTCCAGCGCAGCCTGATGAAAACTGGTATCTACGGTGACCCACAATGCATCATCACTTTGCGTTGTGTACAGGCCTCCTCCTCTGCCCAGACCCTAGTATTCCTAAAAAGGAATGCCCAGTATTCTCAGCACAATCACACAGTCCTCTCCATTTCAGCCAGCTTGTCCTGTGCTTCCTACAGTCTCCGTGAGAGAACCTTAAATGAGCTGCGGGGAGAACATACGGACCCAGTGGTCCCCATGTCCTAACACTGAAGTCCCAGAGTAGCATATATGCTGAAATGCTGAAATGAAACTGAAAGTGGGACGTGCAGGGTATGGATTTCTGGCAATGATCTTCAATCCAAGGTCAATTGTCTTGCCACGCAGGGTGGTCTTAAGGGGCGTGTCAGGCACTTCTGGTACCTAGACGCAAACTGCCGCATCAATGTGACGGAGATGACAGCCACAGCGTCCAGATAACACCGCCACAGCTTTGGCAGCACAAACGCCTCCAGTAAAGCTGAAAAGGCCCCCACACACAGGGAGAAAGTCACCTCTCGCAAAGCCAAGGACTTCAGAAATCCCCTCTGCAGCTGAGGAACATCAAGACCTAATCATGTCATAGGCAAGATTGACCTTTTTAGATAACCTGCTTTTGTTTGAAAAAACATAACGTCTGACAGTTCAGTGAAGAGAATATTCTCTAACCCATATATAGTTGTCAAAAAATTCATCAAAAATCAAATTCCATTTGCTCGCAGTTAACAAATAGTGTAGTTGATTCTATAGTCAATCATGAGAGGCAGATGTTTAATAAATGTGTATATTGTGAATACAAGTTAAAACCTTCATTGTATTGTTTGCTTAGGTATTCTAGAAATTTTCCCCCAATGAAAAATGGAATCTGGATGTCATTGGTGTGGGACACGTTTCATGTGACTTCGTGGGCATTTTTTGCCACATGACATTCCATATTCCTGCCACAGCAGACTTTAACCTAAATGATGTCATTACTATTTGGCATCTTATTATTCTTACTACGTCCTTCCGCGTGCGGAAGCTGAATTTTGATTACCAATAGCATTGCAGTCAAGAATCCTTAACCAATCATAGAACACCATTTTAGACCGGAAGGAGTAAATATTTAAAATAACTAAACATACGCTATTTCAGATTACATACTGTAGATCAGTAAAGACTGCGACGACTTTCTAAATAATAAACTATGTAAGTTTAAAAGTAGGGTAGGCCAATCTTTGCAAAAAGTGAACAACTCTAAAAGCAAGCGAGCACCTTTTAAAATACCTGACACCGAATTAAATCGACGGACACCAAATCATAAGAAATTTAATAGGTGCACAGCTACCTATTTAGGCTAAGTGAGATTTAAGACAGTCCGTCGGTATGTAGGGTCTGGGATTTGAGGGATGAGCTTAGCCTGAGTAACAGATCCGTCACTTTAAAATATTGCCCTGTTTCAGAAACAATATTTTACTGCTTTTCCTGTCAAGTGATGGAGACACCAAAGGTGACTAGTGTTCATTTTCATTCCAATCGAGAAACCAACCCTAAGACTTCACTGGTGCATTATCTGTGTGACACCCATATAAAGGACTGACCAGATAGCATTTTGCAGCAACGTACCCGAAACTGTGTCCTCTGAGAAAATAAATAGGTTAGTGGCAGTAAAATGGAGTAACGGTCACTGCTGTGGGGCGCGTATCGACTCTTCGCATCGGACGACGCGCGTTCAGCCCAACATGCGACTGCCGAGGTCAGCGGGCGTGCAAACCGGCACTGCGTCTAATTTCCTCACAAATCCATGGACGGCTGGAAGTTGGTGTCGAAATCAAAACACCCGCATCCATCCAAGTGCATTCCAATTCATCAAGGGTATTAAACAGTAAGTAAATTTGCTTAAGAAAGAAAAAGAACAGGAGATGCTCCCGCCGTGTAGGATCCGCAGAGTATGATGTAGGTCGGCACGGAAAGCCTTGCTACATACTAAAAAAACGCGCCTCGTGCTTTCGCAAAGTGCTTGCTATTTGAAATAAAATGTGCTTGTCATTTTCCTGCTAATCGTTAATGCATACAGTGGGTTGCTTTAAGTGTACGAATTGCAGATGATACCTTAAAAATGTATTAATCGATAACTGAGAAATTATTCATTTTCCAGCTCATAGCCTATTGGCTTTGTGTTGTAAATTTAAACGACGTTTCTGGCTTTAAACGCACTGAAAAATGATGCTATTTCCCCAACCATTATATTCAGTATCTGTTGTATCTTTTGAAATGAGTGAAAATGATACCGTTTATTGCTTTGCATAATCCTGATTTTATGGTTCGATTTCATTGCCGAAACGTATTTCACACGTGCCCGGCATCTGGCAAGCAGATAGCAATATACACATTAATGTCTATGTACGTGTGTATAGGCTAATACCCCAGATCGACGTTATTATATATAGTATTTTGTATACTAGACTATATAAACATTTTGATATTCCAGTTATCCTTTCGAAATGTAATTGTAGGCTACGTAATATTTCTAATTAATTCATCGACAAAGGAAAACGACGCTTCAAGGTTGCAAATTAACGCTGAATGTTAACTTATGTAGTGGGAAAAAATACATAAATACTGGATACAAGTACAAACAATTTATTGGGAACTGTAAAGAAGGTAAACTGAACTGAATTTATAGATGCTCTGGACACAAATCAAAGCTTGTACTCTCTCCGAACACCAAGCATGTCTACAAAATTTATCAACCCTCAGGAATTTACCACAGACTAAAATCACCCGAATTAAAATTAAGATCATGATATCACACGAGTAGTGCAATAAATTAGAAGAGAGTTTATTTTGCGAGTGCAATGTCACGCATTTGGCACACAAGTTAGGCAACTAGACAGAAAGATAATCAAGCCAATTATGGCTGAGTTATATGAATTATTGAAACCAAACCCACCTCAGTGAACGTTAGATTTCCAGGAGCCGGCTTCAAAGCTTCATTTGACCTTGCGGACGAATTCATTGTTAAGCTGAAATCCATCGGATGCCAGTGAATCGCAGATGAGGGACGGCTTACGTGGAGCTGCCTTTTCTGCCCGCGTCTCCGGTAATTGTGATGTTGATTACTGCGCTATTTAAGCATCGTTTGTCTGTGCCTGTCCGGCTATAAGGCACTCAGCTGCATATCAATGAAAGACTGAGGCGGACGTCAGTGACACGAAACCACGCCTTTCGGAGGGCGACTGAATGTGGTCCAAACCACAGGATGGGAAATAATAATTAGGTCACATCGCTCGTTGATTTACTCTGAGATGTATGAGCGCGCAGTCCAGCGCAGACCCACTGCTGTAAAATTCGAATGGGGCTTTCACATAAATTGTTACATCGAACTTTTTTACAATACCCATCATACATAGGCCTACATATATCGTATAGCCCAACCTCAGCACTCTATGTGGGACAGATTCAATCTCCACCGCACTGTGTAGTAAAATACAACCTCAACGGGACGGAAACACATGTACGGTGCTATTGGTGCTGTTTAACATATTCATAAAAATCTGTTTCATAATATGCTCCTGACATGAATTTGTAATTCAGCATCCTCTGACAGCTACCGTGTTAAAATTTTGTTTTTCGTATATTTACACCCCGAAGCATCGGTACTCTTCTGCGATTGTAAATGCATTGATTTGTTTTCTATCTGCACCTTCGGATGAAAACAATTATCTATGTGAAAAACCATACAGTGTCAGGGGCTGCTGCAGTGCCCGCTGGATTTGGCCGCCGTTTCGAGCTGCAGGCAGGCGACGTGCTGCAGCATTCCGTCCGCGAGGCAGAGGGGCGGCACACCGGCACGCGGACACGCTTCTGCTCGTCACATTTCACTTATTTCCGAGAAGCGGGTTCCAGGCTCTGCATGCAGCAGCGTGAGCGATAAGGGCCACAAGTCAGCATGGGGAGTGGGTGCTAGATGACGGGTCAGTCACGCATGTCCCCAAGGATTCTGGTTAGGTGCCAGAACATAGAGAGTGTATGAATGGATCATGCACTGGTGTAATGGTCACCGCTTGCTTTTAGGTAATGGATCCACAGACAAGTATTCCCAAAATATTTAAGCTGTTGAATATTCATGCATGTTTTAGGAAACTCCAAGCTGAACATGCATACTTCGAAAACACAGATCGGGGCTGAGATTCTAACCCCTGTCTTGGAAGTATGAGGTCCCCATGCTGTGCATATCCGCCCCTAAAGATGGGTAAATTTGGCAGTACAACAGTTGTGGCCAACCACATATAAAAAACCCAGCCCAAACTGCTAACATCTCCTGTGAGGCTTCAAATTAAAAATTTATGTTCATACTCTATCAATTTAAGTGGCTCAATTAACTGAAGTGCTCTTCCCAGGAGCAGACGGTCACTCAGATCATGCCTTTGTTGATCATGGCAAGGACACCCATGGTGAGTTAGACTTAAATCAAACAAAGCACTTCCCTGCTGACTGCCATGTTAAATCATACAGCTGACCAGCGTGTTGCTCTTGAGTTGCTGTCGAGAGGCAGTAGGGTTTCTGTCATTCTTAGATTATGGTGTCCAGCACAGTGCTTAATGGAGCTGTACCAAAAAAATAGTGACATGGCCCTGAAGAGTTATCTACTTCCTGGCTTTATTCTGATATCAAAGTAATATTTTGGCAAAACTGGGGCCAAGGGAAGGAATAAAAATATTCAGCCAGAAAGCCTTAAGCGTGCGAAGTGAAAGCGTGGCAGTCGTCTATCTCGGAGTATCGCTGGGTGTCCCACATTCACAGACTTGCACACTGCAGTTTTCGATAGACGGAAGACTCGGGATTGACCTCTGCCGTCTCATGAGTCTGACAGAAATAAGGAGTCAGGGAAGATGGATTTTTTTTCCAGCACCGATGTGTATCAGACTATATTCTACAGCAATATAACATAACTACACTGTGCAAAATATCAAAGTATAACATGACAATATGCCATAGTATTCACAATTAAAGAGGAGATGTGGTGTAACACACACAGCACAGGCTGATCAGATGGGGAGACCCCTGGTGGTCGCTGGGTGTTAAGCACCCACTCATTTCACTTATGCCTTAATGCAGGGGTCTCCAACTCCGGTCCTGGAGAGCTACCATCCAGTAGGTTTTCTATCATACTCGGCTTCTGATGAGCCACACCTGTTCTCAGGTAAATACCAGGAACAGGTGTGGCTCATCAGAAGCCAAGTGGGACATAAAAACCTACTGGATAGTAGCTCTCCAGGACCGGAGTTGGAGACCCCTGCCTTAATGATATCTTCCTTAAGCTGGTCTTTCCTCTTTCCCCTGACTTCTATTCAGCATTTCTCTCCCCTTTACCCATGCACGGTCTACCTTATTTGAACATGCACACATATTAATGGTGTTTGTTCAGTATCAGTTTAATCACAAAAGCAGGGTTCCATTCCTAGACAACCAGAATCCAACACAGCTTGCAGATTCCCCTGCTCAAACACATCAGCTATTTACTAGGTTTAGGAGGTCTGTCTGAGCATGGAAATCTGCAAACTTTGTTGCAAACTGGGCCCCCAGGACTGGAATTTGCTGGATAGAGTGTGTTAGTTGGTCATGATGAGAAGAGGAATTTAGACAAGTTCAGTATAAATTCAGAATAAAACCAGAATGTTAACAGCAAAAACTCTTCAGTCTCTCTTTTTGCTGAGATGTAGGCCTTCTGTTCAGTGGAAGGATTCAGGATTTTGGACAAAATAATGGAGTTAGCTGCAGGTCAACTCCACCACCGGGTGGCGCTCCTGGATCATCCTACGCAGACTGGGGAAGTTTATTTAGCATTGGTTTGTCATTACATGATTACAGCAACAAATTTGTTTAACTTTACTCTCTGTGAGAGAGGTTTCTGTGAAGGAGCTTCTATAGGTTATTTAGGCTGAAAGATTTGCAAAGGTACTGACCCTAATGTAGAATCTTAGCTAGATTAGATTATTGGAGAAATTTAAATGTGAATAAATAGTTTGAACTATGGGCCAATTTAGACAGCACTTAGCCAAACTGCATGTCTTTGGACTGAAACATTACAATGATTTTTGAACAAGATCAGAGGTCTGGGTTGGATTTCCATGCAAAAATCACAAAAAGTGTAGGTTAGTTCATAGTCCTGTATTTGACTGACCACACAGTACAAATAACAGATTCACGAATAGCTGAGCCAACTTTAATTATTCTTATGTTGCAGTAGTCCCGTACGCAGTAGCAGTGTAAACAATATAACTACCAGTAAAAGGTCGAAAAAAGAATATTTACGCCCCCTGGTGGATATTGAACAAATATCCTTGCACCCTGTACTGATTTAGGCAGCAATTCAAAATAACAAATGTTTAAGGTAAAAACCCAAAATACTGGTCAGGAAACAAAAATGCTATGTAATGCCAAGTGTAGATTTTTGCATTACACGATTCGGCTTATCTCCCCCACCTTAACAGCTAGTTAGACAGAGCGAATGAGGCTGGCTGGCAAGACCGATGTTAAGGGGACACAGCAGGGACGAGAAGGCGAGCTGTAACATCGCACAGTAACAAGGCCAAGGGGGAGAAAGGCTCCGCACTCCAGCGGCATCAATTAGCGTTCCCATTATGGGTTACCACGACAACTGGATGCGTCACCGTCGCTTCTGCGCATGTCAGACGCGGCCGCTTCCGGTTTTGTTTCCGGGCTCCCAAGCTTCTGATGCTAATCAAAACAGCAGGCAACTGGAACTTAGTAGCGGATTTATTTACCCCCACTTCTGTGTACGGCCGGACTGGGCTTCAGGTATCCCATCTCTGTTGAGTGTTTAGGATCGTACTGCTGCCCACTGCTTTGCTGGCTATACACACACGCTGGTGCTGTGTGGTAAATTTTAGCCCGCTATTAATGAACCAGCCTGCTAGCTAACGTTTTATCCCGAACTGTAATGGAGCGAGGCAGTCGCTTGTGATGTGCTTTTCCACTAACTCATGAGCAGTTAAAGTGTATATAAATAGGATCCTTTGAAGATGTTCTTTGGTATGCTCGATACAGTAGAAAGCCAAGTAGTACTGCATTTCAGCATGTTATTATCTAAGAAGTGCTATGTAATTTTTGCTGTGAAGTCTAAATATATGGCTTGCACAAATTTGCTTGTAACGAACTATCGTGCGCATTTATGTTAACTTGAGACGGAGAGCACAGCTTTTATAACCGCCCTGGGGGGGCTGCAGGGTCACCTTTACTTGTCTCCGCATCCCACACTGTTAGGATGGACACAAAGTATTATGACTGTAATGTATGACACTCTTCTGTCATACATTACAGTCATCGCCCAGTATGTCTCTTAGTAATGAATAGCGCTAGTTGGACACGTCAGGAGGAGGGCAGCGCGTGGAGAGATTAAAAAGGAGCCGTCCTTGAGGTACACGTGTCCATAGACTAGGGTTCTTCAAATCTGGCCCTCGATTCCAAATCCAGGCCTTGTTTTCAGTTCTCCCAGGTAGTTAGTTTAATAATTACTGATGGTGATTGGCTGGGGCTTCACACCTGGTTCACAGGTAAAGGAAGGCTGGAAAATCAGCAGGGCTCGGACCCTGAAGACCGTGACTTGAATAGCCCTGCTATCGACTGATTGCGCATATGTTGGTGTTGCATACAATAGAATGGAATCAAAATGCATACATTTCCTTTAATCTCAAAATAAGTTTACATGCTTTTTTTGTAGCAGTGTTTTTAGGAGTAATATGTATAAATGTTATTTTCATTTATTCTTTTTAAAAAAATGTTGGATTAAAACTGAATATATGTGCTTTTTTGTTTTGTCTGTTCTACAGAATGCTGGGGTACATCTGGCAGTACTTGTACAGCTCGCTCTTTCGATTGTGGTTGAAGTGGTTCCTCAGACAGATAACGGGAAAATGTGAGCTGCAAAGGATTTGCGATGGTTACAGGCAGGGAGTGGCGCGGACAAGCAGGGCAGGTGAGGACCAGTGCCAGTGACCGTGACTGCTCTTGACTGCAATGACTCTTTGTTCGTTTGTTTTGTACGTTTGTTTCTGCCCTGGAGGTGAAAAGTAGGGCGTTGTCAGTCAGACCTTTATCCTAATATGGCTCTTGTTTCACTTACAGAATATTCTCTTGAATGCTCAAAAAGCATGGTGAGTTTTTTTTTTTTTTTTTTTTTTTTTTACTTGGAAATAACTTTTCTCTGTTTTGTGACACTTTACGTGCCACGCTTGTTTGCTTTTCTAAAACGAAGCGTCTCTTGCAACAGACGCTCCGGACGGCCATCGATGTTGAAGAAAGTGGGTTAGAGCAACGTGTCACCGCTATAATGGCAGAGAAGAACATCAGATCTGAGAAAGATCCCATGTAAGAGCTTATAGATTCACAGCGAGGTGCCAGAAATTCACAGAATCCCCCGTTTGAGTAATTAGGCCTAAGATTAAAAAAAAAAACAAAAAAAACCCACTGTTTTGTATCAGCTATCGTTTACTAATGATGGAATGTGCTGTTTATGGTTTAGGTTTAAAACAAACCTGAAGGTTTGTTTACTCCAAATAAATGGATACAGGAAATTGTACTTATACGTGGAGGACCTCAGAAAGCAGGTGTTTGAGTCTGAGAAAAAGGAACACGAGGAGCTGCTTTTGAAGGTAGGGCCTGTTTTTGCAAAGGCCAAGAGATTTAAATGTAGAGCTCAGAGCTGCAACATTTGCAAGATCATGAGGAAAATCTTATCTCTGATTGATGATCACGAAAACAACATTTGTCATAGCATTGTGATATGTCATATTTCTAGGCATTAACTACATAATATGTGCTATTAATGTGTTGTTTGGTGCCCATGCGATCGGTGTAGCCGGTTGAAGCTTAGCTAACATTTCTTTTGCAGTTATGGGATCTGCTGATGCCTTCTGTGAAGCTGCAGTCCAGAATTACTAAGCAGTGGGGAGATATTGGTTTCCAAGGCGATGACCCCAAGACTGATTTCAGAGGAATGGGCATGCTGGGCTTAACCAATCTCGTGTGAGTGTGAGACATGTGACCTGCATACTGATGCTACAGTGGCTAAAGTTAATTAGCATTCAAACAGGGGAAAAAAGGAGTGTGGGAAAAACAATCTTACCAGTTCTGACTTTTGATGTTTAATAAATTAAGAAAATTAAAATAGTTAGGGGCCAGCGTGTGGCTCAGTGAGCTAAGCCTCAGTGCGTGTGATGAGAAGGTTGCCGGTTCGAGCGCGGCCTCAGCGGAATAGCCACATGTCCGTGGGTCCTTCAGAAAGACCCTTAACCCCCAGCTCCATGGGTGCCACTGCAGGTGGCTGCCCTTCGCAGCCAAGCTTGCTCTCACGTGTTTTCGTGGGTCGTGGAGAGCAAGACTCGGTAGGCAAAAAGAGATTTTCCCCTTGGGATCAATAAAGTGATGCTGATGATAATAAGTAATAATAATTAAATTGGTGCTTGGTCTATGTTTTAGGTTTGTTCCTAATTTTCTGATTTTTACAGTTTTTTTAGCGCGCGATACACAGAATTATCGCGGCAGGTCCTGTCACATGCGAATCACCCCAAGTTAGGGTAAGATGGCCGCCCCCTCTCTCACATCTGAGCAGTGCGGCCGACGTGTGTCCGCGGAATTGCTGTTGTGGCTCTGTCTGTCCATGGCGGGCCTCCCGCTAGCCTCCGGAGTTTGTGTGTCTGTGTTGGCAGTTACTCCTATGCCATAGTGGGTATCAACCTGACGGAGATGGCCTACAGTCTCCTGAAGAGCGGCGCTCTCAAGCCTCACTTCTACAACACTGTGGACGGGAGCCCATCCCTGGAGCACTTCCATCAGCTGTACTGTGAGTGGGAAGGGGGTGGGGTGAGAAGCCTAAGGGGGGAAGGGTGGATATTCCTGCCCTTGGAATAGTCAACATGAACCACGTATGGTCATTTGTCCAGGGGTAGATTTCCCAAAAGTATTAGTTGCTAACTGTGGTAGCAACTTACATAGTTGGAACTGTGCAAATGAATAGGTTCTTCTGGGAACCTTCTGGGAGACGTAGCCCGATTTGTTTCCCTGTCCAAGAAACTGATCGCCGTCTAGTTGTGGATTGGCTAGCCAGATCCACAAGGCAGTACCCTCACTGTTTTCATATGTTTTCATTTTCTACAGGTTACCTTGCCTACGAGTTCGATAAGTTTTGGATCGAAGAAGAGCCGGCCAGCATTATGGAGTTCAATCTGTACAGGGAGAGGTTTCACGAGAAGGTGAAGATGCTCCTGGGGGAGCCCGACGTGTCCCTCTCGCTGAAACTGACGTCGTAACCGTTACCCTGAATTTCTTAAAGGGACCTGTGCATTTCATTAATGGTCTGAATAAGTATTAGCAATACGGTACCCATCCCCTTTAATTTTTTTTAACCATTACATTTTTACACAATTCAAATGTAATAAGTTAAAGAAAACTGTAATTTGCCTAAAAAGCCCACCTAATACTCACATTGACTATGGATGGAATGGGTGTATTTAAATAATGGGCATCAATTGCACACAGGGGATACTGAAGCTGATTTTCTTAGAAGAATGCTAACCAATGAAATTTAGCTTAGCGAATAAGACTGACTGTATTTGTCTTTTTTAGAAAGATACTTCCTGCCTCTTTGGCTTTTGTGACTGAATCTCAGGAATTCTCAGGAATTTAAGGGCCAACATCCCCATTGTTTTACTGGTAAAGCAAGCAGCACTTGCCTCATGGCGATGTGGTTACTTGCTATACAGCATTTTTACGTTTTACCGTCTGTTGCTCTTCTTTTAGAGGTTGTTCACCTTCTCTGGTATGACCGTGAAGGTGCTTTAAAAAGACGACATGTTTGGATGATACGTTCTTGATTGACCCCCTGTATGCCAGCAGTGGAGGCTCCATTCTGCCCCCTACAGCCCGCTCTGGGCAGTCACGCACAGCATGTGCATTAAAAGCAACTTTTTAGTGTGTTATTTATATACCGTGTTCTGCTTCTGAAGACTTTGTAATTTCGGAGGAATTTGACGGTCTGTTCCTTTGTACATTCTGGCAGAGCACCTCACACGAGAATAAACTGACTTTTCACAAGTCTGTTTTGTTGCTTCTGTTGCACGTGTTACGCAAGAAGCGTTTCGAACTTAGCTGTGTAAGTAGTCTGTAGCTCTCTTCCCTTAGCTGTGATTATACAGTACACCAGCTACTACTTTTTCCAGCTTCTAAAAGCTGTACGTAGTCCCTTAAATATGAGCAGATTAACACTGTACAACTCATATATACAGGCTGTTGCTTTGGATTGTTTCATTTGCATGTCAACAGACTAACCCTATGTCTGTCTGGCTTGGCATGCCTTAGCTTAAAAAACAGAAAACACAGATTGTATTTTTATTTATTTTATTTTTATTTTTTTAAAAGAAAATTAAGTGCATTTTGTTTCAATAAATATAAACATTCCTTCTATCCATTGATGCAGGTGGAAAGACCTTTGTGCATATCTCACTTACTTCAGGTTCTCCACCGCAATTACCCCGCGGTCGGAGAAGCGTAGAGTTTACGAAAAAACAGAATCCAGGTCACTGTCGATACTCGCCGGCCAAGGAAGGTCAAAAAAATCGTCCTGCCCCACAGTACAAAGTGCGTACGTTTAGCACACAGAAGCTTGTTTATAGGAGAAGAGAAGCCCTTGTATCAGCTGAGGTCCAAGTCCATCATCGAGTATCTAAAGCTACTGCCATCTGGGAGAACAGACCTCTTTTCTTAAAGTGCTCCTCTCGTTCAGACATTTTCCACAATGCAACTATGTGTTTAAGCAATGGATCATGCTCAAACACCTTAGCCACACGTGGCTAATTACAGCTGGTGACTAATTACTTTGGGATTTCAGGATATGCAGTCATCCGGTCCCCTTGTATTGACCAATTACTTTTTTTGTAATTATACTATCTAAAGGTAGTTGTCAGACGAGGGTAGCTCAGGTCCAGAAAGTTAAAAATCGAGAAAAGATTTTGTTTCATTGAGTACTCAACTGGTCGGCTGAAACAAAATCTTGGTCTGGATTTTTCATTCCTGACACTGAAGTATCCACCTCTGCTAGTCGCTCTCCGGAAGACAGAGAGATGATGATCTGTATGTGTTCTGCATGGGTTAACCGGATTATGGGTGGAGCGATTCATACAGGCTCCTTCCTCTTTGGTGTAGAGTCACTTGTCTCCGCCTTATTTCTGGAGACCATCATGGCCCTCTTCAGCTGCTCGAAGGACACAAACATCACTATGTTCCAGGAGCCCAATCTTAGGAAAGAGGGAACAAACCTGTAGAAAGGAATGAAGAGAAAGACATCAACACGAACTTACTTCCACGGTTCCATTTCCATGTGATTTGCTGTGCCACAATGATTGGCCAAAGGCTATGTCCGTCTTTTTGAGGCTTCTTCTCATTGGCTGCCTTGGATAAGGTAGCAACAGTGGGTATTGAGAAGCCAGGTGAGTCCATTGTAGCTGATGCTGGGAGCTCACCCTTTGTAGAAGGCCGTGGGCCCCTCCTTGGTCAGCATGGTCCAGGCACAGTTGATGGCGCTCGTGTACTGGCCAGGCGGGGAGTTCATGTACCGCGTCTTCACCACATCCACGGGGGAGGCGATGACCGTCGTGCAAAACCCAGCCCCAAATGCAGACACAAAGTGACAGGGCAGGTTGTCTGTGGTCCCGGGAAACAAATACACAGTGTTTGTTAATGGCGAGGCCCTCAAATCTGAAGACGACCTGCAATAGGCTCCCCTGTCCAGGGGCTTACTCACCCGACATCAGCTTGTGGTTGAGAATAGCCTCCTTGATGATGTCGTAAGTGACCAGCTCTGTGCAGTTAACCAGGGCATTTCTGGTTATGTTGGGCAGAGTCCCTGAAAACAGCAGATATTAATACTTTAATAACTTAATAAAATGCTTTTTGAGATGATGTTGTCAAGGTTTTGACTGTGAGCCGGCAGAGGTGTGAATAATGGCCGTCAAGTCCTGAGACCCACCCACCTTTCCACAAGCCTCGCAGACCCTCTTCCCGGAAGATCTTGCCGTAGGCCTTGAGGGCCCCGCTGTATCTGCGATCCACCCCCTGGAGGTTTAACTGGGCCTGGAACCGAACCTTGACTACGTCTGTTGGCTGCGCGATGGACACTGCCATGGCTCCAGTGGTACAGCCAGCCAGGATCCGGGTCCCGACCCCTGGATCTGGTACGGCGAGGAAGACACCAAGAGTCACACTACACCTTCAAATGAGAGACGACGAAAATGATTCATTTGGCTACAAAGGATTGGAGAATATGCCAGTTGGATAGACGTGATTCCCATAAAAGGAGTTCAAGATCAACAAGTTTATGTTTTTTTTAACTTTTATGTTCTCGTTCGTCACAAAGAATAAGCAAAGTAGGGTTTCCCGTCAGGTTTAGCACCCAGAGAACTAGAGACGACATAGACTGAAACCCAACATCGCTTGTCGTCCTGCCATCTGCCATTGCCCCAGACTCACTGTCTCTCCCGCCGGTATACAAGTGCTTGACGCTGTCATAGAAGCCGATGCGGATGGAAGCGAAGGCCATCTGCCGGTGCAGACCAGCGACCAGGCCGTTGTAGAGCGAGCGCGGCCCCTCGGTCCGCACCATGGTGCTGATGGTCCCGAACACGCCCCTGTAGCGGATATCCTTGGCCGCCCCGGCTGCTGCCTTCTCTCCCTGGATCTATGATTCACAAAAACAAACAATTGTGATGAGGGACTATGGAAACGGGAGCATGGAAGAGAGAAATCAATCACCCACAGAGGACTGGTACCTGTAGCCGAACTTTGGCGGTATCCAGGGGAAAGGTGACCAGGTCGGCGATGCAGCCAGCCATGCCAGCACTCAGGATCTTAACCCCTAAAGGTGGAGGTACCTCGGAGGGCTTCAGTCCAACCATCCTCACCTGCTGAGAGACACAAGGAGCCCGGCTGTCTGTCATGTAAACTTTTTTTCCAATAGGCAGAGATCCCTCATACTTGTTTCTGCATATTATGAAGCTCCGGAACCCTGGAATGGGCACTCCATTAAAATTACTTCAGCTTTAAGCAGCTTGAATGATATACTGCAGGGAGTTACAAAAGCAATTCAATGCTAGTGGCCCAAAGGTATCACAGTTCAGTCCCTACTGGGACTTAAACCTGCAGCCTTTGGGATACAAGTTCAGTGACTTCACCTGTTATTATTATTATTATTCTCTATTATTCGTAAACCTCCCACTCTTCTTAAAAACCACCACTGTTTAAATCAATAATGTTCTAAGATACGCAAGCAGTGGAGTATCTGAAAGTACATCATACTTGTATTTCCCCCTTGTGTTTTCACATGGTTTATTCATCCATTCATTATTTCATTGCACCACTTGCAACCGTCAGCTTCAAACACGGCAGCTTTTTCCATTTCATTAAAAGGCAATGCTCTATGAAGTTAAATGACGACCGTCCTCTGCTCAGAACCTTCGTCTGTGCATTGCAAACCGTCAGCGAAGTTGCTCCCAGCAATAGAATTATAAAAGTCACTTACTTTGTCACCCCAGGGGAATGGAAACTGGTTTGTGCTTTGGAGCGTTCAGGGTGTTCCACGCTCACTCCTCCAAGATTTTCCTCTCTCTGTTCTGTTCATGTTTTGGGCGCCTTTATTGTGACAGCCAAAAGGCGTCACTCCACGCAGGGGGCAGGGACAGCGGGTCGGGAACTCAAAGTTCATTCGCTGTCAGTGTGTCAACCTCCATTCAACACCGGGAGCTGAAAAAAGTTCATATTCTGAAAGTTCAAATTCTTGTGTACAGGTTGGCCTAGACCGTAAGGTGTTTGTGGTGGGGAGTGGGATTGAGGGCGTGGCCTGTGTGTCTTGATTTACAGTAAAGATTAACTGATCAACCCAGGGATCTAATTAAGATAACGACAACAAAGTCTGAAAGCACCTCAAGGTGAAACTCAGAAATGGGCAAGACAACAGAGCCCTGAGCTCCTTGTGGGAAAACGTCTCGTGGCTGAAACACGGATTTCATCTCTACGCCCTCGATTGCTCAAACCAGGAGTGGCAACACGGGTGTTCTCCTCGTGGCGTCATGACACGGACGGCTGTCGCAAAAACGCTAACCGGTTCACCCCACCCCCTCTGCCGATTGGACCTTCCATCCTGCCGTGTTTGTCCCACGTTGTGACATCAGAGGGCCGGCAGGCCATTGAAAGTTGAAAGGGGGGGGGGTATGACGTCCGTGGGCTGAAGTCCAGGGCAGCTGAGGTGACGGCAGGCTGCTGAGTATTGCATAATGTGCTACTGGACCGGTAGGACACTCGCAAATATGTGCGGAAAGCTCTTGGTGGTCTGGCGACCCCCTGCGGCCTATCCGGTGGCTGCGTCAGGACCCAACTGTCCACGGCTCCTGACAATCACGACAATGTATGGGGGGAGGTGGTGCCATTAAGCCAAGAACATCGGTTCACATATCCTTTGGAGAGATGAGTTGTTTTTGCGTTGCATTGTACCTTAATGAGATACCGGCGTCGGATGTCCTGTGCCACGTTAAAATCATCACAGTCACACACGGAGACATGGCCAAACTACCAAGCAGTGAAGCAAAAAGCTGGTTATTCCAACAACTAAACCATTAGCAGAACAAAAGCTGATTCTGGGCAAAAAGCAAGACCTTTAGCAGCAGAAAGTCACTCAAGAGAACCAGTCAGGACACGACGGTGCCAACTCTCACCTCAAACCTACCGGTCGATTTACGCTGCTGTGATAAGTGCTTCCCATTAACTACGGTTAATAGCTGTGGTTCAATGAGTTTAATGTTTAACACACGATTCTTCCAAATGTGCGCATGAGGACTTCAGGCTTTTGTTCATTAGCGGAGGCCGAGCACAAAATACAAGTTAGAAGCAAACCGGCCATAACCTGAACAGCAGGCAAGCATGTCAGTCATCGGTTAAATAACTTGAGCACTTAGGATTCTGTCATTAATCACCCAACAATGTTTTTTTTTTTTTTAAAGCAGCAGGTGACGCTAGCCAGAGTAATTCAGTACAAGCAGAACTGCCAAGTCACACCGGACAACAAAGACAACAGCGACAAAAACAACAAGGAACAGTTTGGCCTAATATCTCCATTGAAGGCATCAAGCCTTGTTCAGATCGGTCCTCGGTAGCTGGACGCGTAGGGCTGTGGGTTCGACTCTGCACCCGACCCTCACTCCAGTCCAAAGGTGCATAGTTCAGGTGAACTGGAGACATGGCTGATTACATGAACTCCCAGTTCCCCACCGCACAGATAATACACTGCAAAGTACGACTGCTGACCGAAGTAGGGAGTCGTGGCGCAAACGTCTGTCCATCCTCGGTACAAATGTGAGCCGAATCTAACGCCCACAAACTACGGTCTCAGAATGGCCACCAAATGTGATACCAACCTCACTTAGCACCGGAACAGAGTTCCTGGTTCTCAAACATAATTTAGAATGAAACGTAATAAGACAAGTTCGACAAACGCAATGCACATTGGCATTGACAGCACCCCAAGACAACATAATAATGCTGCAATATTAACGGAGCATGACCGGCACTTCTGATTGGCTGAATCCGCACACACCCCCCATCCCCCCCCCCACCCCCAACACCACCTCTCCCAGCAATGCAAAACAGAACACAAACGTATCTCTGAATCCTTTGAACTGCAGGACCAATTTCCCCTGTTATGTAATAATGCCATAGGTACTGGGTCCAACAAGCAAAGTGTAAAACTTCAGAGGATTACAGATAAATTACCTTTTTTAAAAAAATAAAAATAATAAAAAAAGTTCTTAATCAAAATCAAATGAGAGTTGGTGTTTCATACAATGTTCAACAAAATAAAAATGAAACAGTAATAAAGCTACTATGCCAAAATATTGCAATGATACAAGAAAAACCTGTTACTTGACTTTATTGTATCGAAAAATTGTACAAAACTCTGTACGCAAACCCACGTGACTAGATCGGGTTTAATCCGGCTACATAGCAGAGACTGTTGGAAGTGTGAAGGTTCTAGAGACGCCACTGTGTGGTGCTGCCCTCTAGTGGATTCCCAGTGGAATAGTGCACTCTTGTCACTGTTGCTGTGACCGACAGTGTGGCACAGGGCCAGAGGATGTCTGCCAGTTATTCTAGGTCACGGCTTATAGTTGAAGACTATGAATCAGCAGATCAGAAAAGACTAGCTCAGCTAAATGGAGGGGAAACTAGAATTTTAACTAAGGTGTGTTTATTATAAAGGAACGGTTCACTCAGATCAATAAAGACAACACTGACAACTTATTTTGTATGTCTGGTTTAGAATACTTCATTCCATATATTTAATCAGCTAAAGTGGTGTACTCCATAAATATGACATTTAAGACTATTCACACATGAAGAGGTTAAAACAGCAGCTTCGACAACAGGGAAAGGTTTAAAAAAAGGAAAATATTTCAGCAGGAGGGAACACGTTTCAAATAAAAAGGGTAACAGTGAAATAAAAGCGAATTCCCTGTATGAAAATCAAAGATAACAACATGTAAACCATTACTGGCAACAAATGTGACTCAAAGTGCGGGTGCTCTAGAATTAAACGGGCAGTTTTTAAAAAAATTATGCAACTATTACACAGATTCTGTACAAAGTGTAGGTACTGGTTAAGTATTACGTGGTTAAATCACAGGAGTATATATGTGATACAGCTCAGAGCATCGGGGATTTCAGATTTTTTTAGACAGTTAAGTGTAGGACACAGTAAGGGATTACATTGCCTAACATGATCAAGAAAGTTGGTATCGTTGCACAGGACTCCACCTAAATCACGGCAAGCTCGTTTAACACCTGGGCGTCAGTAGTCAGAGTCGGCTTACAAAGCTCAGTTACAGCCAGTTTCGGTACAACAGCTCTGGAAAATAAACAGAACCAGGAAGCTGCTCCGGCAGCACAGGAACGCGCTCTGCGGATCACATCGACGCGTCACCGCGAATCTACGCGAGTCGCGAATATCGCAATATCGCGAGGTCCTGCATAACTGCGGAGAAAACATACGCACAGGTACTGGTTGCTACCTTGTTTAATAACGCTCTTTTTTTGGATCGGAGAGAGAGAAATGATTCTTGTTGCCAGCCAAATACAGGGAATAACATCTGCGGATATTACAAAAAAAGGTCGAGTAATTTCTGCTTGTCGGCTCTATTGTTATGGTCCATGCACGTTCAGGTCATTCACAACAGGGTCCCGCAGTAATGGGGCAATGTTTACAACTCGTTCTATGGTCAGCGACCTCCCCCAAAGCGTCTGGTAACCGGCCCCTCCAATAAAACTCTGTTCACAGTCTAAGAATAAAACAGCCATTTCACATTTTATAGATAAAATACAATGTTTACGTTTGTCCTCTCAACTCCCTTGCGTAAATCATACATATTATTATACACAAAAATTTATCTGATTAACTTCTCCTACCACCCAAACGAAGATGCAGTTAAACACTGTTCATTTTACAAAGTAACGTTTTGGTAGTTTTTTTTTTGTTGTTTTTGTTTTTTTTAACAGTGCTCCCGGACAGCCACCTCTGTTGGGGGCGGTCCGTCTCACCCTGAAAGTGATATCTCATAATCACTAGAGGAAGTGAGAGGCCGGCCCACCTTGCGCACGTTCTTGGCGTTGGTGATGCGGCCCACGACGTCCACAGGCTTCTCGAAATAGTGCACCAGGGCGTGCTCGGTCAGCACAGAGGCCAGGAACTGCTCGAAGGTGATGGCCCAGTCCTTGTCCAGGCTGGCGCTGCGCGACAGCCCGTTGCCGCGGCTACCGCTGCTGTCGGTGCCGCTTCCACCGGTGCCGCTACGCACCAGCACGGTATCGTCGGCGATGTCCTCACACTGCAGCTTCTCCTCCAGCTCGTGCGAGCCGGCACTCAGCACCGAGTACGACGACATGGACGTGTCGTCCTTGGTCTCGTCGTCGGAGATCAGCATGGCCGAGGAAAGACCCGCCTCCTTTGGCGACGAGTCTTCCAGCTTCACGTCCTCCATCGGCGGGCTGGACGCAGGCTCTCTGCCGGCTCCGACGTCACGCGACTTGGCCTGTCTGATCTCGACAAGCCCTTCCCCCGCATCAAGCCCTTGGAAGAAGCCGTCTCCCTGCACCCTCGCCGTGGGGCTCCCGCTCTCCTCCTCGTCCTCGTCCTCCTCTTCCTCCTTGCTGCTGGGGCTGATGAAGAGCTTGCCCACCTCACCCATCTCCAGCAGCAGGCTGGTCACCGTGGCCGTGGCGTGGTACAGGTCCTGCTCCATGGGGTCCTCGCTGAACATGTTGTACAGTGTCTTACACAGCTCGATGAACTGGCCCTGGAAGAAGGAGACAGAGCCACTGTGATACACGCTAAATCGGGGCTTCTCACCCCGGTCTGCAGGGAGCCCTAGCCGGTCCAAATTTTTGTTTCCTCCAAGCTCCCAGCTAGAGGTGGGCAGTTCTGGTCCAGATAGTAAAAATCCAGGCCAAGATTTTGTTTCAGCCAACCAGTTGAGTTTAAAGAGTCAGTCACAGAGAACTCAGCTGGTTGGCTGAAACAAAATCTTGGCCTGGATTTTTACTATCTGGACCTGAACTACCCACTTCTGCTCCCAACACACTTTCCCCCATGATCTTTGGTCTTCTTGATCATCTGATTCGTTCAGATGTCCCATAGGACTGGGCTAAGAAACACTAAATTAATAATTAATAATCTTATTCATGGCTCACACAGAGCTCCGAATATCTCGCCAAAATACAAGGCCTGGTTTGCTCTGATATTTGTTCCGGGGGGGTGTAGGACATTGGAGACCTTTGCCAAGGACTCCACAAACACAGGCAGCTGAAAGAGCTGGTGGAACATCAGTCGCCACAGGATCAGGGGGGCTGCCCGCAACACTCACCTGGTTCAGTTTCGGAAGCTCTTTGATGTTCTCCAGCTTAGATCTGGTCTCCTGGTTCCACAGCCTTAGATACGCACGGTAGTCTGGAGTGTGCATCTTTTTCACTGTTCAGGGAGAGCAAACACGGCAGGTGTACCTTCATGCTGTAAAACAGGCCCCCCCCCCCCAGAAATCTACCCCCCAACCCACAGCAGACGCACAGGGAAACTTGTCTGTGTTTCACCTGAATCGCTCTCCTCCGACCTTTTCCCAAACACACAGCGTTTAACTTATCAGTGACCTACCAAACCTACAGCTGGCCAATCTCAAAGGCTGCTAACGCCCCACAGGTAAACAGCTGTAATATCACTGTCTGTGTCCAGTGCACACCTCTACCCACAGGTAAACAGCTGTAATATCACTGCCTGTGTCCAGTGCACACCTCTACCCACAGGTGAACAGCTGTAATATCACTGCCTGTGTCCAGTGCACACCTCTACCATCTGAGCAAAAAAATCTGTGAAGTTCTCTGGGCGTCACTGAGTGCCCCCAGTATAAGGAGGCGTCACTGAGTGCCCCCAGTATAAGGAGGCGTCACTGAGTGCCCCCAGTATAAGGAGGCCCATTTAACCCTTCGGGCTCCTTAAATTTCACTGCTGCACATTTCGGACCAGGCAAAGTCTGGCTGTGGTTAATCAGGATTATGCGCCATCGCATAACATTCTACCCACAACCAATATGGTTTCCACCTTCTAGGAATACTGCTTTAAATATCCAGGGAATTGTGGCTGGACAGGTCTACAAGATGATGTGTGGATGTCGCTGAACATACCATACCAGAGAGCACAGCTTCAGGAAATCCAAAGGGGATTTTCACAGCCTGCTTACCAACTTAATTATTGATAATCCACCACCCATCTAAGATGGGGGTCGGACAATTAACCTGCACCGTTTTGGCACCCTGGACTCCTGTAACCTTGCATAGGACAAGTGGGCACAGAAAATAGATGGACGTATCGATTGGGGGGAATAAATAGCAAGAAACTAGAAACTTTCTCCATTTTGTAAAACATTTTCAACATGAAGACAGAACTAATCAAGTAAACAAGGCTGTAATACGTGGTAAACATGAGGTACAGACATACCTTTTTCGGTTTTGAAGGTGACTCTTACAAAACCGTCATCCTTGTCATTCTTAGACCTGGAGTCGAGCCCTGTGGGTAGAGTGGGGCAGTTAAAAGCAGAGTAAGGACACCTGCAGGCACGGACTGTTTGGACGGGGTGGGGAGCGGACAGCTCACGCACCGTGGGACGTCTCGGGGGTGATGTCCTCGAAGAAGTACTGAGTGGCCTCGAATGCCGAGTCCGGCTCCTCCTGGTCATGTGACAGCTCTGTGGGAGGGGGGGAAAAAAAAAACAACAGGACAGTGGCTCAGTTACCCAGAATGCCATTGGACAAATGAAAACATACAATGATCCGTACTAAGCAACCACTAATCCAGTCAGAGTGGCGGAGACCAGCGAAACCTCAAAAATCTCCCATTCACAGAAACCGATAATAAAGAAATCCCTGTCAGAAATAAATATAAGATTGTACAATAATTACTATGCAGAGGCTAGGGGCCTCAACATTATGCCACGTTTACTAATTTAGGAACAGAAGGATGGGTGTTACTGACATGGAAAT